TCACTATATAGAAATTAGAGATATTAAAGATATTATGGAAACATAAGCTTTTCGAATATTTTTTAGCTATCTTATAGATAGTTATGATTAGAATATCTAAAAAGCTCAACGGCTTAATCCTGCCTTACTGTTTGATTATCTACAAATCTTACAGTTGCGTAAGCAGGGCATAGGATCACAAGATGCAACAAGGAAAGATCTTGGATTATTGGAAAAGCTACGCTAGGGATGTTTGTCCTTTAATATTTTATATTGTACAGTAGGCGAAAGCTATAACTTTTGTTACTTATAAAATTATTAATATAAATTGGGTAAATTTCAAGAATTACTTATAATAGTAAACTTGAAGCGAAGTTTATCTTGGCATAAATTTAAGATAAAAACGTTCAACGACTATAAGGTGAGTATTATGCAATTAACAATAATCCTTTTAATACTACCCAACATTTTTATTATCCATATTAAAAAAAAATAAAAGAAATTTAAGAATAAAGAATTTATGAAAATATTTACTAACAATTTAAAGAATAATTCTAAAACTGTTGCTTTAAAAAACAAAGTAGGAGATATAGGAAAAATTAAATATTTACCTTCTTTCTCAAAAGAATGAAAAAATGTTGTTTATTCTTATAATAAAAATAATTTAAAAAATATACCAATGAATGATATAAATATCAATAAAATCATTCAAAGTTATTTTAATTTATATTTCAAGGACCATAAATATATAGGATCTAAGAAATTCATATTATTAAAAAGAAGACGTATTTTTTTAAGAAGAATATATGTAAGTAATGCTGAAATTAAACATACTAATAATAAAGCAATTATTACATTATTCACTATTAATAGAGAGAAAAAATTATTAAAAAAGAAATACTTAAAAATAATAGTTAGTTTCTATAAATGAAGAATAACCGTACCTAGACTCTGACAAGCTTGCCGTTGGTGGTAGCCCGGTCGTACTGGCCGACCTCTCGACGCGAACACGCCGCCCGTGATGCCGCCATTCTCAAACAGGTGATCAACGTCCTCGAGTTCGAGACGGCTGGTTTCAGGGAAGAAGAAGTACACCATGGGTATCTAGTGGCACCGCTCAGCATGGCTCTACAGCCTGATGGTTGGGCCGCGCCCGGCACTCACCCACGATGCGCAGAGGCACGCAAAGATGATAAAGGTTCGCCAGTCGATGTTGTCGATGGCGATGGGTGTGATCTGAACGACGATGACTGCTCGTGGACGGAACCGGTCAAAATGCCGTCTCGGGGAGCTGCAGGGGCCACAGGGACGACGTACAAACACACATCCAATTGACGAAGCCGGCAAAGGCTTGGCCACGAGCGCGGATCCGGGTTGTGGTCACCTCGCTCGGGTAGAACCTGGGCATGATGAGCTACCACCACGGGGCGGCGGAAGGGCGAGGAGGCGGGACGAGGGCGACTCACCACGGCACGGGCAAATAGCCGACGCCCAGGAAGACTTGAAAGATGAAAACAAACGAGGTGGCGGCGTATGCGCAGCCCTGCGTTCCGACCGAGAGCAGGATTGAAACCATGACGAAGCAGAAGGAGAGCCCGGCAGCCGAGACCATGAGCGAGATGCGCCGCCCAAAGCGGTCCATGGTCCAGAGCGGGATGAATGAGCCGATCAGATAGACAATGGCGGTGCAGCCTCCGAGGATGAGCGACATGTTGCGGGTCAAATGCATGGCGTTTTGGTAGACAACCGGCGCGTAGTAGTTGATCATGTTTGCCCCCGTGAACTGCTGCTGCATGTTGACCAGGCCGCACAGGATCATGCGGCGCAGGTTCTGGATCTTGCCCCCGGACATCAGTTCCCTGTAGCGGAACGGGCCCCCGGCCGACTCCATGGCGATTCCCGTTTCGATTTCCAAGAGGGACCGACGCAGCGTTTGCGCGGCCCCCGGGGCTCCGGCATCAGGCTGGAGGCGCGTCAGGACCGCGACGGCGTCTTCCCGGCGGTCCTGTTGGCAAAGCCAGCGAGGGGTCTCTGGCAGATGCATGATCTGCATCACGAGGCAGATGGCAAAGAAGGCCTGGAAGCTGATGGGCAGCCTCCACTGGATCGGGTTCTGCACGAAGCTGAGGCCGTAGTCCATCCAGTATGCTATGCACAGCCCGACGATGGTGACGGTCCCCTGGGCGGACAGCAGTCGACCTCGGTGCTTGGAAGGGGCCATTTCGCTCTGGTAGGTCGGCACGGTGCTGCTGTTCATCCCGTTGCCGACGCCGGTCACGATTCTCCCGACCAGGAACTGGGCGACGCTGTATGAGGAGCCGAGCAGGACGGTGCCCACGATCATGACGGTGCCGCCGACGATGATCATTCTCCTGCGCCCGAGGCGGTTGCCGAAGAAGAAGGCAAAGAGACAGCCGGCCGCACAGCCTATGTCGTATATCGATGTCACTGGCGGGGGCGGTTAGTCGACAAGACGCCGTCAAGCAACTGCATCGACGTACGAATTCCTTGCAGGCTGGCATCGGGGTGGTTGAACTGTTGGCCAAACTCGTTGTCCGCCCCGACGAGCCCGCTCATGACTCCTTGGTCGTAGCCCAGGAGCAGAAAGGCCTGACAACTGGCAGCTGCACGGCGGCGTCAGCACTGGTCACCCGGCCTCCGTGGTGTTGCTGTCAAGGTTGATGGTGTTCGTGTTGTCCCCGACGACCTACCCGTCACGGCCCAGTGCAGGGCTCTGCCGCGAATCGGATGCATCGGACTTGTGCCTCGGGTCCAGCTCGACGGTGATGATGACGGCAGCACGGCCGAGTGTGAGTCGTCTTGCGTCTTGTCCGCGCTTTGCTGGAGGCCCTTTGTGACACCGCTACGGACGCAGCTCTCGTCGAGGCAGAGAGAAGTCGGAAGCGGCCGGGTTACGGATGTCGTGGCAGTTTGACGAGCTCCAGGTGGAGTCACGGTTTGTCCTCGCGCAAGCCAAAGCCAAGCCTGTGGAGTTTGTACGAAGACGGCGGATGTTGTGTTGTGGCGCCAAGGGCCGTCGACTGTTGAACTTTGTGCGCCGCGAGTTGGACACGAGTAGGCCACTTGGGCCGGCATTGGATACGTACGTGCTGGAGGATGATGGGCTTGAGGATACGTCCGGTTTTTTCGGAGAGGCAAAGGCACCTTTGGGAGTCGCGGAGCCCTCCTTATCTACACCCTCGGTCCGTTATATGCCTGGCTGGAGATGGGATTCATTGCCGCCGACAAGCTGCAGATGACGGTCAATAACAGGCCAGACACATGTCAAGGCTTAGACGTGCTCGCTTGTGTGCGACAATAAGGGTATGTTTTGAGGTCAATCTTTGACTCGCGTCAGTACAAACGCCACCAAGTAGACATGACAAGCGTCATGACAAGCGTCACGGGCGTCAACAGGCGTCACGCTAATTCTTGAAAAGAAAAGTGAGTAGCAATTGAGCAAAAAAAAAAAAAGACAGCTTGTTCCCAAGGCTGCCACGGCTCGTTGAGCTGGTCCATTACATGACAGTGACTCTACAACTTGCTGGGATATCAATTTCTTTCAGCGGCATTTTCAAAGCGTAGAGGCCCCGAAGATGGAGGCACGAATGGTGGTGCAAGTCGAAGCACAGCCGTAGGCCAAACGGGTCAAGCGTATTGGGCCAACGCCGAGACCGAGCCCTTCGCGTCGGGGATGAAGCTATACTCGTGCGTTCACCGGGCAATTCCTACGGACACTGCTGACCCGTGATACTCGATGTGCTACTCCGTGCACCGAGTTTGTCATTGAAGCCATGAGCCAGGACCCGGAGCGCTTCGGCTTTTCATCGAGGGGATAACATTCTGCCCATTTACCGTTTCAGCACTGCAGGCGACGACATGAATTATAGACTAAATGCACTGATAGTGCGTGGCACCTTGTTACTTGCGCTACAGATATGCCCGGGAAATGAAAAGCATCGCTTCAAGGTTCATTTTTGAACACGATAGAGCACATCTTGATACAACTTGACAATATAGATTTCGATAATGTCATAGTCTGGGCTCATGCCCGACCTAGCGAGCGGGACATGGCCTATCTCTTTGACTGCGTGTATACTCGGTAGCGCCGATAGAGCGAGCAAAGGGCAGCCTGTTCAATACTCGCGTACTGAAATACCTGTTAGCCCAACAGTCCGAGGTGGAGGGATCCAGCACTACCAGCACCCATGATGTTTATATTATAATGTTATAGCGAATTAACGTTACATGATGTAATGAAATGGTTATTATATACTATAGAATGTAACGTAACATTACATACCACAGTAGGAAACAAGAAAAAAATACATGTTCAAAGCTCTAGGTGCCGCAAGCATAAACAGCGGCTGCAGGCAAGCTTACAAAAGGATAGCCGGGCAACCAAGAGAGGACAATGCATCCCTCCCCCTGACGTACGTGCACCAGTCTTGGTTTGACATATTATCGACCAAGAGCCGGCGATTGTAGTCACGGTCCATCTCGACTGGCCTCGTGACGCATGCAGTCCGAGCAACTGGCCCAGGGAAAAGTAGTGCGAACAATCGTGCTCTGGGGCACGACGAGCATGGCATCATTTCGAGCCAGATAAGCGTAGATTGACGACCCTTGCCACGGACACACAATTGCTTCCATCTGCTCACGCATCGGGGTCCTCGGACTTGGAAATAGCAAGTGTGCTGTCACCGCGTCCGGGGGGTTCCCTCGTACTCATCAGGCATCTCGTCTGGGTTCGACGTGCTGTTTGTTTGCATCCTCAACGAGACGGACGCGAGAATTCTCGTGTAACTGCTCCAGGGATTATATGCTGAGAGCTCGGCAGAAGCCCCGAGCAAGAGGTCAATTACTGTCAATACAGACTTTTGTATTAAAGGACTTTTTGATTCTCCCCAGAACCCTCAGTGCCGGAAGACTCCAACATTCTCGGACAACACCACGCCCTGAATCGGGGATGGCCCTCGCATCGCCGTCAACGTTGCAGGTCGGACCGGCGGCCACCAGCATCACTGCTTCTTGGTGTTGTTGTTCACGAGCGCGTTGGGCGAGCCACGAAGGTCGCCTTTGACCTTGTCCTTTGTGCAAGTCTCCTGGAGGAACAACGGGACTTGATGGCTCGCTCTGCCGAAGACGGACATGGCGTTCAGAGCCAGGGCGGCAACGTGAGGCGCCGCCATCGAGGTACCTGACATGGTGGCCGTTTCAGAGTCGCTCTCGTGCGAGAGCGAGACGATGTTGGCCCCGGGAGCGAGAATGTTGACCTTGGCTCCAAAGTTGGACGAGGGGGCCATGCGCCAGTCTGACCGGATGGACCCGACTGTTATGGCGCGGCTCGCCGACGCGGGCGAGCACGACTCGGCATTCATCTTTTCATTGCCGGCGCTGGCAACGGTCAAGACGGCCCCCGGCTTGGATCCGTCGCGGTGGTTCAAGGCCCTGTCGACGGCCGCGTTCCAGGCGGCGGAGCAGGGCCCCGCCAGGGACAGGTTGACGACGGCATTGTTGAAGCGGCCCTTTTTGATGATGTCGTTGACGGCAGCGTGGAACCCCTTGATCATCTGGGAAGTCAGCCCGGTATTGGACTCGTCGAGCACCTTGACAGAGACCACCCGAGCCTTCTTGGCCACGCCGTACGCCTTGGAGGCGACGATTCCGGCGACGTGGGTGCCGTGGCCGCTCCGGTCCTCAAAGTCGTCCTCCCCGTCGGCGGTTTTGAACAAGGTGAACAGGTTTTCGGCGCGACCCTCGAGCTCCTGGTGCGTGGTTCGGATCCCCGTGTCCATGACGTAGACGTAGTAGGTCTCGTCGCCGGCCCAGTCACGATAGTTGTACTTGAAGTTGCGCCACGCGGTTGGCCAGAGAGCCGTCGGCGGCGACCGATGCGAGACGGCGCGGAGGTTCCAAGGCGCCCAGTCCTGGACTGCCACCTTGCCGGGCGGCCTTGGTCTCAGATTGGCTAAAGTCAGCCCGAAGGACGCGGCGAGGACGAGCGAGGTTTTCATGTTCGAAAGGCAGTGATCAATGGTGGATTGCAACCGTGCGTCCGACGATGACACCTCGCTGCCGTTGAGCGTGGCGAGTCGTGTGCGGTTTGGCAGATCTTTTAAGGACTTCGCTTTGGAAGGCCGTGTCCCATTCCCTCTTGTCTGCTTCTGAAAGATGCCTTTGGGCCTTCATCTAAAGAGACTAACCATGTGCATCGCCACAATTCCGTCCACCATGCGCGCCTGACGTATTAGTAGCATTATCACAGGAGTCCTGGTTCATAGGAGTGACAGACTCCCTATAGACCACTGGTGCTATCGCTGTAGGGACATGGATCGTCACATACATCTGCTACCTGCGTATTGAACAATCGTCCTTGCAAACTAGTCCTGACATCCCTGTACGGCGCACAGGCTGGTTCCTGCGCCCCTAGTGCAGGTGCGTGGTTGCGGTTCATATTTCGATGAAATTAAATGCGTCTCGTCTTGCCATGCGCAACAGTCTCGCGCTCCAGGTCGTAACACCGAGAGTATCACCGTTACAGGGGCCGGCCACAGGGACGAGGGCTTGGGGCGCAAACTCATACTGGCATCGGATGCCGTACGGTGCCGAGCTTCTCTGGTAGTTCCCTCGCCCCAAGGACCCGAGGCACCAAGGGGTTGATGCCTCGCGCCTCTGTGCCTTGATGCCCGGGGCGTGGGTGCGGCCTACGAGGGCATCGTGATAGCTGCAACCTCTGGGCATTGGGCATTGCAGCTTGCCATGTGCCATGTGTTTGGGGCTTGCTCACAGCACGTCTTGTAGTTGCGCACGTCGTGTACGCAGCGTGAATCAGGGGGCAACACTTGTTATAATGCACAACTCTTCTTTTCATCAACGAAACTGCGTCCGACGGGGCCTCGTTCCTTTTTCTCTGCAGCCGCGTTCCAACCTGCCCTCACGCTACCTGGCCCTCCATAGAAGAGGTTCGTCCACGTTGGGAACCTCGTCCCCGGGCTCGGAGGGCGGCATCTCGTCCAGGTATTGCCACTGAGAAGGGTCGTAGCCTTCATCGTCATTTGTCCCCATGTCGAATTCGACATAGCGGTCCGGCTCTACAAAGTCGACCTGGGGAACAGGAAGAGGAAGGAGGACGAAAAAAAGTTAGCGCTGCGCAAAATGTCTCTCTTGCCAGTACAGGCAGATGATGCGGCACGGCACCTACAGCCTCGCTGCGCTCAATTTCTCTCATCACGTCCTTTCCAACATCGGCCAGGTAGGCGCAGAAAAAGCTGGCGTTGTCGCAAAACGTGTCCATGATGACTTTGGAACCATTGCCGTCCTTGCTGCCCGTTTGGCGGAGGCTCTGCTCGTGGATAGCTTGGACCCATTGGATGTGCGATTCGAAATGCTCTGCCGTTTGGTTCTGATGCAGCACCACAATGTAGCTGTAAAGCAATTAGCACCGAGAGCTGTGCCACGCCGCCCATGCGACTGCGCCAGCGTGACAGGTTGCAGGCGTAGAGACGGATGGATTTTCCTCACCCCAGTCCGCCGCCATCATCAGCAGCGCATGTGTCGGGTGCGAACGCTGCTGCTAATCGAAGCAGAGCGGGCACAAGAACAAGTGACCAACGCGCCGGATTCATTTCTCGATGTAGCAGCGCTGTTTGCCGTGCCAAGGGAGACAAGAAGCGTCTCCCGGCAGAGATTGCTGAGACGTACGTCGTGAGGTGGTTGACGAGACTGATCCACGGGGGCCGGGAGAAGACAGACCTGTAATAAACGGAATTGCTATACCGTTACCGTGTCACACGGCACAAGTGCAACTCGTGGCTCGATCATGATGGCAACTGCAAGATTTGCCCCGGCACATCGTGATCCGTACGATGTGTTGTCAGCCGCACTCGCCTGGGTGAATGGGACGCACTCTTGCGCCAAGTTGGCATGGAACGAAGCGCAAGGTAGAGCCTACTGTCGTGTTGGTGCTTGGACTCCCCCTCGTCCGTTGTTTGGCGTTGAGCAACTTGTGGACGGAGCTACGTCACGGATCCCGCCCTGCTCAACCCCTGTTCCTGGCATCGTTCATGAATTGTCACGGAGCGATGCGCGCAGCATAATCTATAACCGTTCATCTAATCCCTCCACACCGCCGGGAGATGAACAAACTGCGGCGGCCGGAGTGCGCTCGTTCCTCACCTTGTCCTCGCGTTCTCTGACGCGGACAAGCGTTGGGATACCCTTGAAATGCCCTTTGCCCCTTTCCTAGACTGCTCGCCATTCCGGAAACATGCCCCGGTCATGCTTTCGTTTGAAAATACCATTGGAATAGTTATAGTTGCATCCTTCCCAAAAGTCACATGCCAAGGTCGCCGAGTCTATTCATGTGCTTGCTTGTGCAGTCTAGTCTAGAAATCAAGACACCGGTTCCCTCCACCCTCCACCTCTGACGCGCTACAGCATAGTGATGAGAGGAAACGTTTTACTTGAACGCAATGTCTTTACAAAAAACCCGAATTGTCCAGCGTCCCAGCTTCTTTTCCTCAATCGACCTCGCATCGCCTATCGCTTGGATTGTCGCGAGTCAAGACACTGCCGAGAACTGTTGAAAGCTTCCGAGGAATGAGACGTCACATTTTTAATGTCAAATAAGTTGCAGTACATGTTTGTTCCGGTGCACTGCTCGTACTTGGACCAGTCGATGGCGGTCGTGTTGTCGGGTAGTCTCAAGCAGTCTAGACTACGGAACTGCTTTTCGGTGGGCAGCCCGTGGAAAGGTTTCAGGGAGGCTGCTCGAGTAAAGGCCAGCAAGGATGGACTCAGCGAGACCAAGGAAAGAGTAAGTGCCTTCATTGGGAAGAGCAAAGAGGGAGCGTCGCAACAGACTTTGCAGGAAGAAAATAGAGAAATAAGCAGCTGGTAATTTGCCAAGCCGGTTAGAGAGCTTGAGGAGCAAGTCTCTCATCTCTTATATGAGGCAGTTTGAAAGGAAGGAATCCACAGCCTCGGTACAAAACATGTAGTTAGCATAGCATAGCATAGCATGGCACAGCATGGCACAGCACAGTACGGAGCACGGCATAGCATGGCGCAATATTAGTCAAGGATGTAGTTACTAGCGCTATACGAGTCAGTTGTGTAGTACGCAACAGTCATCTTTGACATTCCGCATAAGTAGCATGGCATAGAGCAATTTTAGGCTGTGGTGCTATATCAGCCAAAACTATTACCATTCGGCATCATCCGGGACCATGATGTGACGCGAGTCCCCTGGCAAGCCGGTGCGGTGCGCCTAAGCTAAAGCTAGGCTTGGCAGTTGCTAATTGGACATTGGCACCGACGTCAATGGGAACGTGTGTTTTCAAAGTACGCAAGAACTCGAGATATATCGAGGCGTGCCTGCTCGATATGCCACAGAGCTGCAGCTTGTCGTCGCACCTCTGCCTCTGGGACAAGATCAAATTGGCCAAAATGAGGATCGTACTATGCGGCCTTCTGGTAACGGCAGCGTCTCTCGCCTGGACACTAGAGAACCCAGCTTGTGGAATTGGGCCTGAACGCGACAAGGACAAATGGGTGCAAAGAGTCCAGTTGCTGCAGCACGTGTGCTTCGACTCTGACCTCGACAGTTTCTCCAAGTTCAGAGACACCAGGGACACGCCGTTTGTCCAACAGTTCCAGTTCGACTGGACAACCGACGCGTGCACAATCGTGCCCAACCAGGCCAGTCTGGCGGGCTCGTTTGCCCCAGCCTGCATAAAACACGACTTCTGCTACCGCAACCTCAAGCCTGTGGGGATTTTCTTCGAATCTGTCAGGGCTTCTGTGGATGAAAACTTCTTCAAGGAGTGAGTCGTCGCCGCCCCGGCCCATGTGGTGGTGTGTAGGCGCTGCAGACCCGGATGCTGACTTGAACTCCTTGGCCGCACAGCATGTCTAGCACATGTCCCAGTTGGGATGATTTCCTCCGCATCCCCTTGATCCCAAACTGTGAAGCTGCTGCTGGTCTTTACTACATGGGAGTCAGGCTTCTCGGCGAGTTTGCAGCCAAGGAAGATCGCACGCCGCGTCTATACAGGGACAAGCCAATGCAAACGCCATACTTGCCGGATGTCGGGGACTCGGCTTCAACCATCTGGGTAAAGCGCCGAGACAATAGAGCAGAATTGTGGCCGAAACGTCTGTATTTTAAAAGTCATCCCTCAATGGGTTTTTTTGACGGAAGATACAGGATAACAGAGGTAAGTGAAGCAATTCTTGCCAAGCTTGGGCTGCCCGGAGGGACCTTGTGCTGATGATGACAGAATGCCAAGGCAAAACGAAACGATGGCGGGAACAGCAGCTTCAAGGTAGGCTTTCCCACCCTGCTTCAGCAGCGCTATGCTGACTGACATTCCTGTAGCTAATCCACTGCGTACCGACCAAAAAGTGCACACGCCTGCGAATGTGTGATTACGATAGAAACTGTCGTCTTGATTTCAGGTCGAAAGCTTAGTTGGCTGCCAAGTACAAATGCATTCTGTCGAGAAAGGTCGCGTGCAAGCTATTCATAGCCGGAGCCGGCAATCGTGTCTTCTTACACCAGCCATGATGTACGAGGGAGCCGCGACACAATATCTAGCGTTGCGAGACCCTTGATGTGACAAACGCTCGCCTGAGGGCCTGGAGCAAGTGCATCTCGATTCGCACACAACACACTTTGGCACTATGGATCCTTGGGTTTCTAAAATACCCTTGCGGCCAGACCAACAAGTCATCCTCAATCAGATTCTTCCTCTCGGCCTCCGAATTGGCCTCGCATTGCGAATGCGGAAGAAGAGACGAAGTGAAAGTGGCAACTACGAAAATCACCTGCTCATGCTGTTATTGATGATTCGACTGGAAACTGAAAGCGTGCGTTCCTTACCGCTAGGACCAAGAACGGTAACGCAAGCCATCGGGAGTCTAGTCCGACGCTGATTCCCCATATGTTCTCGATGAGCAGACTGCCTGCCATGTGGGCAACGGTCTCGATCATCGATAAGACAGTGTATACTCGGGCCATATGAGCGGGCGCATCGACGTAGGTAGCCATGACGACTAGGATGGGAGGTCGAATATTGAACCCGAGAGAAAAAAGGGCCAAGCCTGTAGGAATTTGTCATTTAAGTAATGGATGATGAGACCAGGTTGACGATGCTCCTGCCCGAAATTGGCCAGGCAATTCCTGGCAATATAGCCATCGTAGAAACTCCTGAAACGAGCACGAGGCAGCTGATGCGGATGATGTTGAGGATGCAGCCTGGAGCTGATGGCCCGTGATTGAATAGATGGTCCATTAAGGAACAAAGCGATAATCTATGTCACCAGACTAATGCCTGGAACGACGGAGAGGAGTTTGGTGGCCTCGGACTGTTAGCGAATATAGTTTGGGAGGAAGAGATTGTCAATACCTTCGGGAGCGTCCATCCAAACTTGACAGATACGAGTGGAGGTAGTATCTGAATGGCGTTATATCTCATCTGGACTTAAAAAGCGGTTAAGAGTGCCAGGCAGACTCCTCTGGATCGAATTATATTGGTATACGAGGCCAGACGGTGCCGTAGGTTTGGACGCGGCAGTTGGCCATGGTCGACATCTGACGATGGACGAGGTGTAGATTTCGGCATGGCTTTAAGCACAGGCAATGTCATGAACAGAGCCAAACCACTCAAGAGGTAAGGCAGCCAGAGTGAGTGAGCTAAGAGAAGAGACGCTATCCGAGGGGTCACGAGTTCGGCGGCAAACTTGAAGCAAAAGAGAAGGTACATGGTTTGGCCTCTATGCCGGATATCAGCTGGCGACTTGAAGCATACCCCAAAGACGAAATGCTATACCTAGTGTTTTCGTCGCTGAAGTCGGCTGCAAAAAAGGCATTTGGAGCAATGGCCATGAAGGGCCCCCCTCCAATGCTTCGCAGCAGGGCTGTGAGCCATACGAGCTCGGTAGGTAATGACGTCCAAAACCTGCCTGCCTGCTTGCTGTCGTTAAGGAAATGCAACGGAACAGTTGCGTGGCACAACGGAGCTACTTGGTACCGACAAACCACATAGATCCGAGCCATGCAGAGCATCATGCCAACGATGACAATGGCAAGAACCGGCCGGCGGCCCGTAGAATCGGCCAAGGAGCCGAAAATCGGACCCAGGCAGAGCACTTGAGCCAACGTCGAGGTTTAACGGTCAGTGAAGGATCCATGCCCAACAGTCGGAGGCCACTCACTGGGAAGCGCGCTCAAGGAACTAAGTCATGCTCTAGTCACGGCCAGTCCATGCTGAACCGGAGCTATTTTGCAAAGGGTCTCATCGACGGGCAGATCCGTCAGCCCTTGCCGAAAATAATGGCGCTGGCATATGGGGTTCTCGAGAAGACCGATATTAACTAGTAGGGAACTGAACTTGCTCTTGAAATTCAAACAGTAGCACAATGAATGCCAAGTAAAAGAAGGGCGTCGGGTGGGGACAACCCATGATGCCGCTCCTAAAGACGAGGGAGAAAAAATCAAACAGGATACCTGTCAGGTCGCCAGAGAACAAAAAGTTTCGAGTCCAGCCATCAGATGGCCCTGCCCATTCGCCTTTGGAAAACGCACATTGATAATCCGTAGGGCGACAACAGGAGAAACACTTCCCCCTCTGTGTGATTAGTGCAAGCTCCTTAATGGCTAATCTCTGCCTTGGGCGGCGTCTTTTGTGGTGAGTCGTGAGTCGTGACCGTAAAATTCCGACCGAGTCGGGTGCGATGCGACGAGTTATTACTCTACTAGCCTTCATGAGGTTGTGGACGACGCGACGCCAAGGGCCTGGGTCTAGTATTACGTAATACTCTAGCCTCACACCGACCAGTGGCAGGGACCGTCACCAGGCCTCACACTCCCCAACCCTAACCCCCCTCACCACTCTTCCTCCTTCCCCCTTCGAGCTTCATTTCCTCCTAGCTCTCGCACGCCACGTGCAGCAACGACCAGACTAGACGTGCTCCTACGCACATGGCTCAGGCCCTGATGTGTGTACCACAAACAGTAATCATCAGTGGCGGCATCATTGGCCTCTCGACGGCTTATTCGCTTGCCCTGGCCTTGCCAAATAGTACTCACCAACGGACTAGTAATGCCTCGAGTACGGGGCGAATCATCGTCGTTGAACAGGCGTCAACAATATGCCCGGGCGCGTCCGGTCAATGCGAAGGGGCTCTCGGAGCGTTTAGCTTCCCCACCGACACCGTTCCTCTGGCCGAGTTATCATACGGCCTGCATCAACAGTTTGCCGCGGAAAATCAAGGCAAACAGCTCTTTAGCTACTCACGACCCAAGATATATTCCCTGTTCCAAGATAACTACGACCCATCAAATCCTCGACTGCCGTTTCCTGTCAAGCGGGAGGAAGACGCAGGCAATCTTCCCACCTGGCTCAGGACCCAAGTGTAAGTCTCGACCAACAACGTACCCTTTGATGTTTCGGATCCTCTAATCAATCAAAACGCCACAGAGATGCCCTGAGATTCTGCCGCCTTCTCAGGAAGCGTTGTAAACAGCTTGGTGTACAATTCATGACCGATTCCGAAGTGACTCGCGTGCATCGAGAGCCTCGTTCAAGCATTGTCGGGCTATCTGCAGTCGATATCCGCACAAGGACATCGGCCAACCATAAGCCAACTCGTGTACCCCGTGATGCTTTGGTGATCTCGGCTGGCAGCTGGTCAGCAGACGTATTCACGTTGCTTTTCCCCTCCACAGACGTCAAAATATGCATGGCCGAGCGGCAACCAGTAGAAACTTGGCTCAGGCTGAGCGTGGAACAAAGAGCTCAGACTGAAATGGATACAGGTATAGCTATGGCGAGATACGCGTCGTCGTTTCTGCACGAAAACGAACGAGCCTCTGGATCCCACAAGTCTATCGCCATGCGAAAACTAGCCACGGCTTGGCCGGGCTCATTGGTCTCTTGGCAAACGCGGCCGGCGTAGTAACGAATCTTGGACAGCAGACTGGGACGGACACCGCTCTGCGATGTGGCCGTCATCTTGGCCTTGCGTAGCAGAGACTCGCCAAGGGAGTACTGTCCAGTCTCGTGACAGTAGCTGCAGCTCTCGCCGGCAAATCTTAGCCGTGACGGTCCATGGCCATCCGCAGTTGGTGTCACTCACCCGGCGATGCGCCATGTAATGCTCACGAGCAAATTCAAGGCCGTGGCCGATGCTCCGCCCGACATGCGCCCGTACATGTGCTCCGGGTGCGGTATGAAGAGCTCACATTTCTCCCACGAGCCCACGTGCTTCATGGAGAGTTAGTCATCCAGCGGTACGGCGCCATCTACAAGCGCCATTGGGAGACCATGACTGGGTCATATTTGGGCATGTTTGCCATGAGTCGGCTCAAGACGACGTCTTGAAAGAACCTGTGGAGGGAAAGAACCGGACCTGGAGTGGTGACACGAACAAGAGACTGCCTCGCGAGGCAGTTTGTCGCGTCCAGGCTTTGCAAATGATCCGCCAGGAAGCTTGTGAAGGGCGAAAGTGCACCAGATTCTCCAAGCAGTCCGAGCGGCGCGGAGTCGGGGTCGAAAAAGGTCCGCAGATCCAGCAGGTTTGCCGCGTCGCCGCTCAGCGCACCCAGAGATATATCCCAAGCGTCGAAAATCGTCTTGGAGTAGTCCGGCACGGTTGTTCTTTCGAGACGGCGTCTCCTCTGTCCCCAGAGCGACACATAATCTTGCGCTGAACAGGGCTGGCTCCGCATGAAATAAAACGCTCGTTGTAGGCCCAGAGGGAACCCGTGAAAGATCTCAGCTATTCGCAGCACCGCCGGTCAGTCCTTCTCGAACGGGTGAGATGATTGTAGCAGGAAGTTGGCTCCAGCATCAACGGTGAACGAGGCTACGTGAATGCCGTGCAAAGCAAGGCTGTCCTGGCTCGGAAACGCAGTCCTTGTGGTAACAATGCTGCCGCAAGGCCAATGTTTCTTCAGTAAAGGCGCGTCATCGGCGTTGTCAAAGACCAGAAGCCACTTCAGACCTGCAATGATGAGCCTAGGACTTTGGTGCTGCCAAGGTGAAACATACTGAGATTACAAAGCCAATCTAATATGTCCTCATGGGTCTTGTCAGTTCGATCGATCTCGAGTCTCGACATTGAGCCCCAGGAGCCTGGCAAGTTGGACAAACTGTGACTCGAGAAGTCTTTGAGTCACATCCGCCCGTGGTTTCCCCTGCCTCTCCACGACCTGTATGCGTGCGCATCGAGGCCCGCGATAGCGATGATGCTATCACCGAGGCTGGTTAGCACGGAGAAGACCAAGTCCCGAGTGACACGACTCAGTTGCCCTGCTCTAAATTCGCTAATGTAAAGTAAATAAGTTCTAAGCTAGAAAGGTAACAAGTATCTCTTTCTAGAAAGAGAAGCTATAGATTATTTAGCTTTAACTATAAGGTCTTATTACATTGCTAGAGGTAATTGTGTAATAGAAGTTTTGAGAATTATAACAGTCAAGTTCAGAGATAAAATAATTACGTAGGAAATAAAAAAAATTAATTCTAAAGTATTTTATAATAATAAAACTAAAACTTATTTAAATTACTTAATATTTAAACTAGCTATTTTATAATTTCATAGCTTGGAGCTTAGCTCTAAAATATACCTAAATATTATATGACAACTAGCTATCTAGATTTAGGCTTATTTCAGGGGACATTTAAGTATTTTAAGTTCTGCGCTCCCTGCTGCTATAGAGAGCGACTAGTGTCGAGCGGTTCTGCTTTTCGTCTCATAAATACCCACTTAGAGAGCTTACTCTTATACAAGAAGTAGTAGTAAAAGCTTTAGAGCTTTTAGGCTTATAACTTACTAAAATATTTATATTATACGCTTAGTATAGTGTGTAGAGTATAGGGTATAGTAGTACATGTTATAGGCTGTACAAGCCCTAATATACTCTCTACCTACAAACCCAGACGAAGTGACTGCGATTGGCTGTAGAAATCGAACACTTTTAACTATATCCCTAGTGTAACCATGCGGCATACGTGCTATTTCTAGGTCCTGTGTCTTGCCACTTTATAGATTTTGCCTCAGGTCCCAAATGAGCTTAGGTCTAGGAATGGATGATCAATACTAAAATCTGCGCTACTTGAATTCGAAACTTGATTAGACGATACTACATTACCTGAGTCGGTTGTTTCGTTGGAGAATTCCTCGAAGCTCTGCAGACTTCCGCCAGACAAAACATACGAGCTCGTAGTTGTAGCGGTGACGATGCACGCGTTCAACGCCTGGTCCAGCGTACTTGACAGCAGCTCACTGCCTTCTTTGCAGTCGAGACAAGTGGCCTCGCCGGACTGGACGACACCTTCGAGGTCAGTGGCAAGTACGCTGAGTTCTCGACACAACTGCGACCATGACAAGGGGCATGCTACGTTTCGCCCGAGCTCGGCGCTCTCTTTCAGCGCGGTTACAAGCGGTGTGCCGGCGGCTAGCCCGTAAAAGGACAACTGAAGCACAAACAGTTAGCTTTGGCAAGCCCACGCAGATACTGGGGGGTTGCGGAGGGAACTTCATGCCGTAGGACAAGGGCCGAGACAGCGAACAGTATCGGGAAGTGGTGGTGGTTTCTTACATTCCAGACGTGGTCTGCATAGGCGCCGCACCTCAGCAGCTGCTTGGAGGACGTCACGACAGCCGTTAGCAGTGATGTAGCTGCCATCAAGGCCGCCGTGTTGTTCTTGGTTGTGGTGGCGTGTATCAGCTTCTCGACGTGCAGAACAAGATCTAGATACTCTAGGTACAGGGCCAGGAGCGTAGAGCAAACGCTGCTCGAAAGAGGAGAGTCCCAGCAGCTTTCGTCGTATCGTAAGTACTGAGGAAACTTTTCCCATGACTCTTGAACGTGCTGAGATATTGACCTGCATCTAGGCGTTAGCTCGGTGAATGGAGCACGGGCCGAGTCACAAACCTGAGCTTCATCACGGTTTCGTCGTGGGCCATTTTGGCGCCTAGGTGGATGGACAGGATTTCTTCCCTCGATGTGGCCAGTATGCGCCGAGCCCGCAGCCATGCCGTTGGGTGGAAGTTGGCATCGCGACTCCAGCCGTCGCTCGACAAGGAGCTGATCGAGACACCTTGCGCGGGCCCATGAGCTAGCAAATGCTCATCCCGGAGGTGGAGGGGCAGACGCCTATTGCAGTAATGCAATGGCAATCTCGGCGGCTTCTCCAGGGTATATGACAAGAGTTTGTCAATGTCGTATGAGAAGGCGAATACCCTTGCCCGTATCTCCCCCAACACCGTCACCTTTTGGGGAGCCTCGGGAGCATCGCGATGCAGATCTAACACCAGCAAATTACTAATTAGCTCTCCAGAACGGAGCCAACAGCGATGGCCTGAACAGACAGGAGTTTAGCATGCAGCAGCCACGAGGGGTTTTGGGGAGCTGCCGCTTACTCTTCATTCCATACATCTTCATAATGAGCATGAGGTTTTCCAGTCTCAACCAGATCATGCCGTCGTTGATGTCGAAAATCCCGTCGCACAGGGCAATGCAAGAATCACTGGCGGCAAGCATACTCGCAGCGAAGCGTCGTCGGTCATTTTTTCTCATGTGCACCGAGGCCAATAAGCCATCAGCTGCCGGTATTTGAAGGGCGGCCAGTGCCGCTGTGGTCAACAACAGCCCGATTATCTCTAGCCTCAAAGACGAGGTGGTGAAAAGAGATGAAGGGTCCGACGAGCCGGCGTCCAAATTGGCTTGAAGTGGCTTCGATGTTGCATCGATGATATCAGCACCTAATTTGCCCACTTCGATGAATCCTTGTTTCAAGCGGCTACTGGCTAAGTCGAGGGACTCAAGCGCCTGGTAGATGAATTTGGCGGGCAAGAAACACATCGGGCTGGTTTCGTACCAATAACGAACAAGCGCAGAGATTAAGTCTATCTCGCTCAGTTTCCCCAGCACCTCCTTCAACGCAACATCAACCCTCGGCCCCGAGAGTTTGATGGGAATTTCAGAAGCTGGGGGGCTCAGAGGGGTGTGGGCTTGCATCGAGATGTCAACCAGGCCGAACTGGTAGCTCGGCTCTACGACGATTGATGACGGCGATGAGGCGAGGATTCGGTTTTGTGCGCATGTACCTGCAGAAGTAGGGAGTGGCTGAGTACTGTAGACCTGGCCATCGCTGGTGTTGTCAGTCCTAGATCATGTCGGCGTCATGAGACAATGCTCCCAGACCTTTGTTCTTGCAGCCCTCTGCAGGCCCGGACGAACTTACGTGAAGGTCATGTCTTGAGAGGAAGCATTGATACTGTTACCACCTGTGCCTGCCCTAGGCCTACTTGGCCTTGTCAGCGGTGCAGGATGATAGTAGCACTGGTGCGCAATGGACTTTTCGCTGCACCGCCCGCATATGGGAACCTTGTGATCGCATCGCATCTTGACCTTCCGACATGGCTCGCATGCCCTTGGCTTGCCGTTCCGGCGGTTGATATTTCTAGCCACTTCACGTCAACAGTCGCCTACTTACTCCCGGGAATTTTGATGGGCTGGCGAGGCAGACGTGCGGCACAAGGCGCTGCATGGCTTACATCATGCTAAAAATAGTCGGCTGCCGAGCGAGTCGTGCCGCCTCAATGCCCTATACAACGTAGGTGACCTGGCTTGAGGGTGAGAAGAGTATGACTCGAGTCTACCGCCAGAGAGAGCGCGCTGGATAGAAGCTTTTGTAGAAGCATACTTACTTTTACTCTTTGCTTATATCGAGCACAGTGCCAAGTACAGGAACGAAGTCCAATGGTGACAAGTCAGAAGGCACGAGATATCAAGCCATGGTCATATGGGTATATGTAACCAGCCAATGGCGCAAACTCAGAGGCCAAGGTCGCCTGGCACGTTTCCTCGCACGCCGGCCGGAGCCCTGCAGCAAGGAATACTTGCCAGTACGCGAAAGAATCATGGCGTATATACAAAATGTCGGAAGAGAGCCAATCTCTGGGGCGGGGCTCAAGAACACCGCACGGCGGTCAGGATAGTGCAACTGCGCTCAGGCTCGATAGCGTGGGCAATTTCCACTCTGCTCCGTGGTTGACTTGCATCCTCGAACGGTCCCCCTGCTCTGGAGGGAGCCGAAGGGAAGGGATCGTCAGATTCGTCACGATGGCGGCGGCCATCCGCTAGTCGGCAATAACCCGATTTGGCAAGACGAGGCTTACGTAAGAACTTAACCCGCAGCTGTGCATTACAGTGCATCATTGCCATCCACGAATGTCTTGGCATGCCTCTCGTCACCGCTTTTGCGGTTCCTTTGTGTTGCCGTCCACACAGAATCAATGTTCGCCGTCGGTGCTCCGTATCGTCACTGACCTGCTGCGCCTCTTTTCCTGTAAAGACGACTCAATCTGTCTGGCGACCAGATGGATAGACTGTACGGCCCATCGTCTCCGGCGAATCTCTAGTACCAGCGCGTACCTGGCACGGCCAAAACATGCCCACTGGGGTGAGGTATCAGGCGGACAATGTGGCGAATTGTGATGACTGCAGCTGCAGCTGCCTTGAAACTTGGAAGCATGCTGGACACTACATGATGGCTGCTACTACTTTGTTGAGCCGCCCTGCCGGCCGAGACACCCACAAGGCTTCGCTTCGGAGCCTGGCGTCTCCGACCTGTTGCAGCATGTGGTCACAAGTCCGTCTCTAATCTTGTCACTGAAATGTGAGCTGGAGAAATCTGTAAGTGGCCATGAGCGTGCCGAATAGCCATAGCCCGAAATTAACAGACGATGGCGGGCTGTTGGCCCTCGTATTGTCTCGGGCATTGAGCGAGTGCGTGGATGAGACGGTTTGCTGTTCAAAGGGACGAAATAAAGCCCGCGATGCTGCGCTGCGATACATCGAATTGTGCAGCCGGACGTAGCTGTCGTTGGATTGGTCTGCCAGTTGCAGCTATCTTCTAACTGAATGGACGCTGCAGCTCTCAGCATCAACAACCTGGACTCCCAGATGCAGCTGTTGGTAAATCAGACTGCTGTTGCAGTTATCAACGGCATTGAATCAGGCCGCCAGATGCCGCCGTCATTGAATTAGACTGCCGTTGCAGTTGTCAACATCGTCGAATCCGACTGCTACTACAGCGGATTGTGGGCAAAAATCACCATGCATTTGTGCCTGCTTTTCCTGCATTTAGCAACCGCCACCGATATCGAAGCTGTCTGCGAGCGACCTCAGTAGGACAGATGAATTGGCAAAGCGCCGATCAACCGAACGACCAATACGAGCCGTCCAGACTAGATCTAAAAGACCTACATCTAGGCCCACAGACTCACAAGCCCGTGTCGAAACAGCGAGGCAGCTATCGCCTCACCCCATCGAAATATTTGGTTACGCATAACCCACCGGATATTTTACTACAAAGGGAATTTCAAGACATTCAAGCCGCATTGTAACCTTGTTATCGCTCCAAGGTCCTTAAAACAATGTTATATCGTCTACAATCCTCAATACCTCCCTGGTCAAGGCCGCCGATAACTTGTCTGCGAAGCCTTTGGATACGACATCAGGCCAGCAGGTCAGACTTGCGTTGCACTCAACTCCATTGTAACTATCAATCTCCAAGACAATAGCATACTATTCCCCGCCCTCGTCAGTAGAGCAACAGAAGAGGCCTAGCGTAAAGCAAATCAGGTCGAGCGATGGGCAGCAAACACTTACTTCGTATGGGTCTTGACTACCAGGCTGTTCCTCAATAACCAGTGCCCCCGGATCGTCTGGCGAGGCTTGAACATGCCTTCTGAAATTCACTACGGAGTCAAATAAAGGACCGCCACGCTGTTTTGCCTTTTTCAGGTAGCGTGCAAGACTATGTTGGTGGCCGGTGGCAGCTAAGAAATCGTCGCGCAGGCACTGCAGCAACTCTTTGGTGGAGCGACGATGAATATTTGTCACTCGGCACGGCATAATGTTGAATGTAGGACCGACCACCCGGTCGATGTCGTCGATTTGCGCATCTCGACCGGAGACGACGAAGCCGAGAACGACGTCGTCACGGTCTACTTCGGTTGCGACAACACGCGCCCATGCCAGACGGAAGACAGTAGCCGTGGTCGTGTTCGCCGTCTCCAAAGCCCGAGCCGTGGCCCGGTTAGCCAGCGTTAGATCAACTGGAGTGGCAAACGTCGATCTGGCCGCATAGACCGAGCGGTTCGGTGGCGCTTGGCCCGTAAGCCGACTGGGCAACGCTCTTTGCAGGTATGTCTGCCAGAATTCAACTCCCGCCGCGCTGGCCAGGCGATCGAGCTGCGTGGCATAACTTTGGTAGGCACATGTAGCTCCGTTGACAGAGGGCTCGCCTGCGTAAGCCCGCGAGAACGCTGCCAGGACCGAGGGCATGGAACCGTGGTCCATCAGCGCGTGGTTGACTTCCCAGCGGCAGAGGACCGCATGACGCGCGACTCGAGGCAGAATCGTAAGCCTATGTTGTGGCTCTCCGGGCCGCCACTTAGTCGGCGGTAACACGAGTAAGTTTTCAGTGCCACTGAGAACTTTGACGGTGCTGCTCATGGTGCAGGCCTCGTCCAACACGACGTTGAGAAACTCCTCGGCGGCAAATTTTTGCTGTGGGCATGGCTTTGGTACAAAGATCGTTCTCAGAATAGGATTGGCTGTTATGACTTGTCGCCATGCCGCCAGCAAGTCCTGCATATTGACTGGCGATCCGTCTCTTGTGGTAACGGCGAGGATTACTGTCGGCCGCCAACAGTAGGGATTCACTTGTTGTGAATGTAATATCTGCTCCTGTATTGGCGTTGCTGCAAAAACAGAAGTAGCCCTTGGCCTGGTGTCTCCGTTGCAGGCGACTGTAGCTATGTTGTGGCTGCCGAGATGAAGCTCGAGGCATTGTAGCTGAGCGTACGTGAGTGAAGCATTTGGGTAGTCTGATTGTGTTAACAGGGGCGATGTAACAGCCAGCTTGGCAGCGAGTCCCTCGATGGTTTCCAAAAACGCCGAGATCCAGGTTTTCACGCGGGCCGACTTTGACATCCCTTGGTTGTGCAGAAATTCAAAGCGAAGACGGCCTCGTCGCACACTTGCGGCTACGTCGAAGATAGCAAAGCGACGCATATTTCCGCTAAAGTCATAGTCATCACCACAAGAGTCCGGGTCCGCGGTGAACATTCCGCCGGACACAAAGTCGCCCTCTTGGTCGACACCGGTGAAGTTCAACATGATCTCGGGGATTCGCGGATAATGGCCATCGAGTATCTGCTGGTCGCCGAAGAAATCGGCGTGATTCCTCTCCGCCCAGAATCGAGCGTCCTTGATCTTTCGAGCAAAGTCCGTCGCTTCCTGCCCTGTCTTGTAAGGTGCATAGACTGGCGTCACGGCTGTGAACCATCCGACGGTGCCCGAGATATCCGGGTCTCCTGGGGCCTGCCGGCGGCCATGTCCCTCCAGGCAGACGGCGGGCGAGTCTCTATCAGGGAAAGCTTCGCAGAACGCCAGCAACAATGCCGCAATGAACAGGTCTGTGGGCTTGGTACGTAAACAATTATTGCTACTGCCCAGACAGAGTGAAGTGGCTCCTGTGCTCAGTGAGACAGACTCCCGCCTGGCTTGCATGTAGGTGAGATGACTGGGATCAATCGCCCAGTAATTATAATTTGGAACCGGCAGAGAAAGCTTCGTCTGCTCTTGTACACGTCTACGCTTACACCACTGGCGAAACAGCCCTGGAGGAACTGGTCTCAGCGACTTCCCCTCCAGTATGGCCTCCAGATCTTCCAAAATGAGTCTCCACGAGACGATATCAACTGCTAGATGAGTTGCCACGAGAATGAGACGACATGCGTCTTCTGGACCAGAAACTAGTTCGCAATGAATAATTGGACCCGAGACTGGGTTTATTATGCTCTGTATAGCTAATACAAGGCGGTTGAGGCTCTCGATATCCGACATACAGGTTGATGACGTTGAGAATGAGCCGTCAATTGCATCAGCAATCCGTTGAGTTGAAGCCTCGGGAGTGGATAGGTTGTATCTCGTCCGCAATGATGCGTGTTGCTTCACCACGAGCCTCATGGCTGCTTGGAGTGACTTTTCGTCCACAGCATGTCGTAGCATCACCTGGCAGGTCTGGTTGAAGTGGTGAACTTGATTCTGCGGCGCCAGGGCAACGTAAGCCTTCTGTAGTGGCGACAGAGGAAAGCGTTGTTCGTGTCCCTCAACGAGGGAACTAGATGTCCGAGGGTCGACAGGGCCGTCCAAAGCTTCCGCGCCAATGGTACGGATGCCACTGGCTTGGAGAAGACTTTTCATGGTTATACAAATCCCTCTATTACGGCATCTGGCGACTGCCTGCATGGCGGTGATTGAATCGCCTCCAACCGACTGGAACGACTGATGCATGCCAATCTTATCCGCGCTGATATTGAGCACCTCGGCCCAAACGCTCTGCAGCGCCGACTCAATGTTGTTTGTAGGTTCCTCCTTCATCAAGTCGCTCGCTACATCTTCTCCGGTCGAAAAGAACAGTGCTTCAGTGTCGGAAAGATTTTGGATCCACGAGCCCACTGCCTTGCGGTCTGCCTTACCAGTCAATGCAATGGGTATCTCGCGAATGACCGCAACGAAAGACGGAACCATGTACCCTGGGACGGCCTTGGACACTCGATTGCGGATGGATTGGATGTCAGCGCGAATTGCTCGGTCCGGCCTCATGGCAACTATGCTAGGGCTCGACTGACTCCCAAGTTCGTTCCGACGGCCAGCACTGATCACCGCAATCAACCGCCGGGCCATTGGTCCCCCGTGAGGTACAAAACATAGGCTTTGACGCCCTTTGGCCGCTTTCTCAACGTGGTGCTCGACCTCGGCGAGTTCTAGCCTCTGGCCGCGGAGCTTGATCTGATTGTCCTTGCGCCCAACGAAGACGAGGCTGCCCGTGTCGTCGTAGCAAGCCAGATCTCCCGTCTTATACATGCGAGCAAAGTCTCGGCCAAACTGTCCAGGGCTGGCCCACGAAGGCGGCAAGATAAAAGCGGCCGCCGTCTTGTCGGCGTCGTTCATGTAACCGCGGCCGACAACAAACCCTTCAATGAGCAACTCTCCCACGGCGCCCAGCGGCATCAAACGATTGTGGTCCTCGGGGTCGACAATCCACGACGCAGAGCCCATGGCCTTGCCAATCGATGAACTGTTGCTGCAGTCGCTCCTGATGCGCCCGTTCATGCAAGTTATCGTGCACTCGGTTGGACCGTACACGTTTAACAAGTTGACACGCGGAGCCCAGCTCTCCACTGCGTCCAGAGTCACAGCCTCGCCTCCCACGATAATAGTTTTGAAGCTCGGGAAATTCGCCGGCTTGATGGAGCGCAAGAAGGATGGCGTGAAGAAGGACCAGTTGACGTTCTTGTGCCGGACAAAGTCGCCCCAAGTGTCGGCGTCAACTCCTTGAGGGGGCACACACAGACAGGCGCCGTGTAACGCTGACACGGTCACTTCGTAGACGCACATGTCGAAAGCAACAGAGGCGAATTGCAGAATTCTCGTAGAGCCATCGATTGAGTATCGAGCCGCGGAGCTCGTGAGATGGGTCATGACACTTTGATGTTCAATCATGACACCTTTTGGTCGGCCGGTGGAACCAGACGTCATGATCACATAGGCAAGATCGTGACCAGACATCTCGGGGGGTGACCATTTCTCCGGCAAGACAGGCAGTGCGGACAGGAAGGCCTTGTTTACAGTCCAGCAGTCGACAGGAAGTAAACGCTTCAAGGCAGTCGAGTCATGGCTCAGCACCAGTGGACTCTCTAACTGTGTAATGATGCTTGTAACCCGGTCCCCTGGTGACTCTATATCAAGCGGAAGAAAAGCACGGCCTGCCTTTAAGACTGCCCACATGGAAACGACCATGGAGATGCCCTTGGGAAAGTGGAGAGCAATGATCTTGGTCGGGTTCCAGGCCACCAATTCAGCAGCCAACCTGGAGGAGACGTCGTCCAGCTCCGAGTAGGTGAGTGAGCCGTCCCACGACTCTACGGCCGTTTTTCGTGGGTGTTTCTGCGCCGCGTGCGGCAGTATATCATGTATGAGCCCACGGACTGGGGGAGGGAGGGATTCGTTCCACCGGCCAAGGGTTGCCAAGTCCTCGCCGCTAATCCAAGATAAAGACGCGAGACGAGCATCGGATTCTGCCTCCAGCATCTGCCGCAGCATGTGCGTCCAGGAATGCAGCAGTCGCCTGCAGCGGACTGCAGATACAACCGAGGGATCGAACCTGGCATCTATAACCAGCGATGATGGCGTCATGGTGCACTCCAGCACGAGTGAGTGCGAGTCTCTGTTTTCGGTTTCTTCACGGTCTTGGAAGAGCGCATAACTCTTGTCTCTTGGCGAAGGAGCCTGTATGACAAGCATTGTCTGGAAGTCGCATGCGTTTGCTGCTCCAGGACAGACCTTGGCGATATTGTGGATGCCCAGCTGTTCATGCGGTCTTACCAGATCTCGTCTCGTCCGTAGCGCGGCCACGAATTCAGATATACTCTGATGACAGTCCCACGCGATCCGGAAGGGCAGCGTTGATACCGTAGGGCCGAGCACTTCATCAATTCCTGGCATGCCCGCATCACGACCACTCATGACGGTGCCGAAACAGACATCCCTCTGTCCGGTCAAGGTCCCGAGCGCAAGGGCCAGAGAGCCTTCAATGAGAAGGGCAGACGCAGAACAATGTTCGGTGATTGTCAACGAGTCTCTCAGCTCCGGTTGGTAATCTGGACGAGGAATTGTTGGAAACGACGGCGATGAAAATCCATCAAGGTGTTTTTGCCAAAACGCCTTGGAAGCTGGGTTTCTCGATGCCCGGATAGAGAAATGGACATACGAGTCAAAAGAGACCCCTGGGTTGATGGCCTGCTGTTTTCCGTCGTAAAGTTGGGCAACATGGTCGAGAAGCAGTTGGAGGGACCACTCGTCAAATAACACATGGTGAAGGGTCAGTACAAAACAGCGGCCGGTGCCTGTTGTGTATAATGCAAAATTGCTGAGTTCGCCTCCCAGGCCGAGCTTTGCTCTTGAAATGTGGCACGACGACTGGCTTAACTCATCATGCAAGTCCCACGTAATCTGTTTATCCACAATTACTTGAATTGGGCCCCTGTTTGGCGGGAGTAGAATTCTTGTCCGCAGAACACCAAGCTGATTGTAGGCATGGGCCCAGCAGGATTTGAACCGATCCAAGTCCAGGTTTGGCGGTAGCTTGAACACGTACTGAGTGACATAGGCACAAGGCTCGCGGTTGAAAGACGGAAGGAGGCTTTCTTGAAACGCGGTACAAGGGAGTATGCTTTCAATAGCATGAGGTGGTAGGCCGCACTGGTCTGCGGCCCAACGCCCAAGTTCTCCAAGGCCACGAGGCGTCGCAAAGCCCTCGCCGAGATCGTGAAAAGGTTGAGATGTACTGGTCGCCAGACTTCCGTGCCTCAATCGGCTTGCCCTTGACGTGGCTAGAGTTGCAAGAGACTCCCCGTCCAACACGGCTTTCAACGGTAGTTGGATACCGGACCTCCGCAGGCGTGCCACAAGTTTAATGGCGAGAAGTGAGTTTCCGCCAAGTTGGAAAAAGTTACTGCTGGAATCCAGATGACAAAAGTCCAAAGACAGCACGCGTGCCACTTCCATCTTGATGGATACTAGGGCAGGACCTGAACCCTCGCACGATTGCTCGTCTTTTGTATCTCTCGCGTGACGCTGTCCATTCTTGGAAACAGCTCGACTGAAGATTTCGAGCAACACAGCCCGGTCTGCTTTCCCGGAAGACGTCTTGGGTAATGTTTCCATGGGAACAAAGTGATCCGGTACCATGTAAGACGGAAGACTGCGCGACAGATGCGATTTCAGGTCGCCCAGCCACGTATCCCAGCTTGCTTTGGCTCTGGCAGCCCATCGGTATGAACCCAAGATCAGGAACGCAACAAGATAGTCGGAGTTGTTTTTGTTTTCCTTCTCAACGACCACCGTCTGGATTTTGTCGCGACTGTGCTGCAATATGTGGCTCTCAATGTCTCTTAGTTCCACTCGCTGCCCTTGTATCTTGACCTGTCTGTCCTTCCGGCCGAGACATGATATCGACCCGTCTGGCTCGAGCTTGGCAAGGTCGCCTGTCTTGTAGATCCTTCCGGGTAGATTCTCGGTATTCGAGGCGCCCTCGCACCGTACAAACACTTCTGCCGTTTTCTGAGCATTTCCAAGATATCCACGAGCGAGAATGTCGCCTTGAATAACTAGTTCTCCAACTTCTCCAACTGCACATATTCTGTTGTGATTCTCGGCGTCTACAACCCAAACATGGCATCCGGAAGCGTAGCCAATGTTTGACGGTGATGAATCCGGGCTCACGGAAGAAATGCAGCTAAATACGCAAGCCTCAGTTGGTCCATAACTGTTGAAGAGCTTGACGCGAGAAGACCATGTATCCACGCAATCTTGCGTTAATGCTTCCCCGCCGACAGCCACCGTTGTAAGAGACGGCACGTCTTCCGGCGCAAGAAGCGAGATGACGGAGGGCGTGAAGAATGCCCAGTTGACCTGATTCGTATTAGGGCTCCGCATCATCACGTCTCTGATGAAAACTCACCCGAAGTCTATTTATTGATTCCGCAAGCTCAGCCCAGCCTGTAGGCACACATACGCATCCTCCATATATGAGAGTGGCAAATATCTCCGTCAGACATGGGTCGAAGGTGTACGAGGTTGCCTGCAGTGCTCGAGTCCCTTGGTGCATTCCAAGTCGCTGACCATGAGCCAGCAAGCTGGAGCAGATAGCCTTGTGGTCGACCATGACTCCCTTCGGCTCTCCGGTAGATCCGCTCGTAAAGAACACATAAGCCAAGTCGGTTCCTTGAACGTCTGGCACTGCGATACTCGCATTGTCCACCAGGGATCTGAAGAACCCCGCATCTAGCTGTAGCGATTCGAGAGAAGTCGAGACTTCTTGGTAGGAAAATAGTTCGAGGATCAAGCGAGAGTTTGTCTGGTTGGCTATTTGTTGCACTCTAGCGGCAGGGTATGATGGATCAACGGGTGTAAAGGCAAGGCCGGCGCGAAGGATGCCGAGAAAGGAGACGATGGCCCATGGTGATTTGCCATGACGGCAAAGGATGATGTCTCCCTTTTGGAAGCCAATTTGAATCAAATATCTCGCGAACTTGATGGAGTAATCGTCGAGCTGGGCGTATGTCAAACATGTCTCCGCAGAGCATATGGCGTCGCGTCCATCCCGCCATCGAGAAACATTGGCAAGGAAATGATTGATGATGGTGTGACATTCACGAAGGGTCGGTGGAAGAATCTGCATCGTGCCAGGGCACCCTTTTGTGCTTCATTCAATTCGAGTTGCTGACGTCTTCTTCCGCGGCAAAAACTACGTTTGGCTGCGTTTTGTAGATGCAGTCTTTTTGTTCTTGAACACTTTTGGTGCATATCAAAATATGCCGACGGCCATAAATCTCAATCTTACACTTGAGAAAAGTATATACAACGCTGGCAATCTCACACTCACGCAATGAATGCCGTGAATGCCGACGCTCCTTGTGGGCCGACGGAATTCGAGTCGCGTCCGGAGTTCAACTTCTATGAGCCGGCCGGACTCCGTGTACATTTTGACCTCGGATATTTAGCGCTAGAGTTCGGAATTGCCCATTGAAGCTTTAAACAATGGCAAATTTGACATTCCCTCGGGCACGTCTGTAGCCCATTACGTATTGGCGTGCCTTGTTCAGCACGATGGTGATCAACTATAGCTATTGAACACATGGCGATGACTTGAATTCGATATGATCCCTAATCCGGCCAGCACGTAGCACATAACGCTGGAGTGACACGCACGCCGACTCGTGTTGCTTTGAGAGAATTAGCAGCTAAACCGTCATGTTGGAAAGCATCTTCGGTAGCCGTGGGCGATAAAGGAAGAAAAGGTGTGTTCAGACCCCCCAAGTAGTACAGGGCTGTACTGTTGTATGCTCAAGGATTCATATCAACGCATGGTTGGAGACATCGGTGCTCGTGCGCGAGACATCAAGACTGGATGGAATATACAGATCTACAGCCGACAAGTCGGTGACCCTGTCTGCCCTTTCAAGGCGTCCAAAACAAGCTTGCGCACCTGAATCGCCGAGCCCCAACTTGTCTGGTACCCGTAACCTCCATGGCCGTAACAGTGAATGACCGTGAAGCCACAAACATTGTCCCTCTCCAACCTCACGCCACCGCGTCTGCAAGGCCGAAATCCAACTCGGTGCTGTACCACGTCACTTAATCCAAGCTCTCCAACGCTTTTGTCGTATTTGGCCCAGCGCCGCAAAATTCGTTTAGCAAGTTGCGGATCAGGTTTAGCCGCTTCATGTATATCCTCCCAAGCGGTCGGGATAAAACAGCCACCTATGACACTACCGCCACCTCCGGGTCTTTCCAGAGCATACGTCACGTCGGAGCTCTCCAAAACATCGTCCCCCGAAGCCAGAAGGGTGTTGGAAACCACATGACGTAAAAGGACTGTTTGCCCGCGGACCGGCACCATTGTGTCGTCCATAACCCCTCCGAGTGTACGAGAACCCAAACCTGAACAATTTACCACTATATCAGTGCTCCCACATGCTGTGATTGCATCCATAACATGGGACAGGGTAAAGCGTTTCACCTGCACGCCACGCCGAAGGCATTGTCCGAGGAGCCATGGCAGGTAAAGGTTTGGGTTTACGCACACCGTCCTGAATCGACTTTTGTATGCCGTGTTCGGCGGGTCATCCGGTGCTGGATCCAGGACTTGGAACTATTTGCAAGTGACTCATCAGCTCTGAAGGTCACCATCACCTTCTCATCGAGGGGAATGGAGGTATCGGTACATTAGGAGCCAAAGTCTTGAACCAAGGGTCTCGTTGCTGCAGAGAGCCGAAAGGTAAATTGTCGAGCCCATGCAACACGTCCTGCTTATGGGTATATATAACGACTTCTAGTGATGGTATCGGTCAGATTACTTGTACGAAGTGCCGAGAGACGCCGCGACTTGTACCCTTGTAGCGCACACCTGCTTCAGGGGACTTGTTTGCAAGGCCCGCCAGGGATGGCCAGGAGTCACGCTCAAGGGCATGCTCTAATGTACCATGTCGTGAAAATCTTGCGTTGAACCCGATCAGCGGTGGTTAAAAGCCTGTTTGCACAAGTGAGGAAGTACTACGGTAGGTACATGGCCCCAGCCAAGGGTGATGCATATTCAGCATGGTTCTCTCCTGGAAAGTCTCGAGCAATTATTGTCACATGCGTATCTCGATCGCGTGAGAGAACGAGGGCAACCGTTAAGCCAATGACTCCAGCACTACAATCGTATTAATACTTTCTCTCTATATCAGAACTGGGTTGATGACGAACCCAAGCACAACCACTTTCTGTGCTTTCTCTGTCGATGTAGACTTTTGGAGTAGAAACTCTGCTATGGGCATGGTTGAGTGATGACTTTCGGGTACAGTGATGAAATAATTGAGAAAATCGTCGAATGATGGAGCAGCTAGTCCTAGTATGCCTGAAGCCTCCTTGACATGGATCGAGTGGGTGAGAGAGGGCAGATAACACCAAGTATCGTAGCGAATCGGAATCCGGAGTCCGGATCCAAGTACGCCAGCCGAACCGTCGACCGTTCAGCTACAGACAGACTCCGGGAAGCGCTGTTCTCCGCTCCGAATCAGGAATCAGGCGGGAACTGCCGCCGCTGTTGGCAGCTTTGACGGTGAGGGCCAGAGCATTCATGTTCCAAGCCAGCGTGGCACACATTCTGATCTTACTTCCCCAATCTAGTTTACGAAATCTTGTTACGTGAGTCTGTTTTCTGATACCATCAAAGTTGACGACAGTGCCAAGTCGCTGAGCAGCGCCTCATCGGTGCGTCGTTTAAAATAGCCGTCCGACCTTGCTGGGTCACTTTCCTTAACATTATCTCTTGAGACTTGTTACTGGGTGAATTATCGTGGCACCCGCAGGAACGCGTATTCAACAAACCACGACGACCTCGTTCGGCAATTTACCTAACGTGAGAATGAGAAACGACGAATCGATAAACCTAAGCCTTGCATTGCAAAAGAACGCGCTGCTCTTCGGGAGAAGCTAAAGGACTGCCTCATTGACTTGTTCACACGTGCGAATATGACCCGGGATCCGCGGGCCACTCTTGGAGCCTCGCGGCTCTGGCTAGAGAAGCGCAGGAACTCCGTAGTCACAGCGGGTTTTGAACGATCCTGGATGTAGGTCTTACTGACTGCGCTGTACAATGATTGAGAATTTTGCTTAGCTTTAGTCTACTCATCGAATATATGAACATATCTACAACCGTTACATCGTCGACAAAAGTAATGCCCACAGCAGGGCATGTGCCTGGCATTAGTATTCCTGGGACTTTCAAACTCCGATTTTGGATGTGCCTTTCATGGAGGAATAGTACCTAACCGATTAGGAGGCACGTCCACTGCCAACGTCTTTACAAGACCAGGGGCTACAAGTAGATGAGGCAGAAGCTCAATGGAGGAGAATAAATCCACCGCTGAGACAAGTTGCTTGTTCGATAGACTGCATCCCTTCGCATATACTAGGTGCAGATGTTGATGTAAAACTTTTAAACAAACATCGCAACTACGCTCGGCTGCTGGAGTTGGCCAATAAAGTCCCAAAATTTGTGGCAGGGCTAACGCTACCAGCCTCGGAGTAACTATAAGTTTGACGGCAAAGAGAGGCTTATTAAGATACCAGATCTGAGATACAAGACGTAGCGCAACGAAGCAAGCTTCCCTGCAATCAGAACAAGAACATGGTATCATGTGCGTACGCGGGTGATGCCCTTGACAAACATCAAAGGTAGGATTTCTGCGCAACCGACCTCGCTTTCTCTTTTGCTTGCACACTCTCTCACACAACCCCGTTAACCCAAACCCTCAAGGTAACCAGACAGCTTGGGTTCGCCTGCTGGACGCTGTACGCAGCGACGTCCAGGAAGCACTCAGCTCCTCTCGGCAAGATCTGTTGCAGGCCCGTAACCTCCACGTCATTGACGAGAAGACACTCTCGTAAGTGTTGCGGCGCGTACTGTAAGTCTGCTACTACTACTACTACCACCACCACCACCACCATTAACAGCTGTTATTGGCAGAGCCACGTCCCACCAAGTCCGAGATCACTTCCAGTCCTGGGTCCCAAAGAACCTGGAGCAGCGTCTCCGGCCAGACCCTACTAACCCGGAGGGCGACATAAACTGGATATGCCCAGATACGGATATTGTCTCTCTGTGGATGATCTCCTTCTCGAGTCCATAGACTATCCAAGTGTTGACTCGCCAGTAGTAAAACTTCTGTGCAAGGATTGGGAGTCCCCATTGCCTCCACAGGAGAGAAACTACGTAGTTCCCGCCCCGTTCCATGATGGTGCCACTGAGTACGAGGAGGAAGATGTGGGCTGGATGTATATGCCGCTGCAGCAATACCTGGACACGTATTGCTTGCTAGGAAAGAGTGACTGGGACGAGCAGTATGTGAGACCCCCATACATTGATGGATCTGAGGACGGGGGTCAGTTTGTAGGGCATTGGAGGCGGGAGTCGTGAAAGCGACGAGGTTAAAGGGCCCGGGCATCAAGGCATCAAGGCACCAAGGCAATAAGGCACAAAGGGCATCACCACTTTGTTGCCTGGTCAGGTTACACACACTGGCATTATCATGTATATAAAGCCCCCGTTGAGCAACCAAGGACTGTCAGGACCATGCAATAATCTATGCAATACGAGTCTTCTGCCCCAAGCTCTGATCCAAAGGACCAGCCCTTGTTACACAAACCTTTTCGTAACCATCTGGGGTCACATGGCTCCAAATACCAGCGTCGCAGTCGAATCCAATCCAAGGATTCAGTCTTGTTAGTTCCGCTACCGTGTTGCCCAACAGATGGAGATCCATAGAGCAGTTGAAGGTGGCTGCAGGAAGGCCAGCGTGCCAACGCCAGACGGACGTGGCGAACGCTTGTTCTGGACGCGGAAGTTTGTGCAGCAGCTACAGTCCGATGGCTGAACTGACGGGAACTGGTAATTTATGCATGTGCGGTTCACGGTTACGCAGTAGTCGTGTGGCAGCACCGTCTTTGCTACAAAGCAAGCAACCCACGGTCAGTATATACGCAAGCGTGCAGAGCTAAAAACCAGATCAAGTCTATGACGGAAAACGTCTTACGAGGAGTCTGCCACTTCCGTAGGCAGTAGCTGTTCCCGGCTTGGAGCATACAGTTACTTGCCGAGAGGCTGGGATTCCACTCGATCGACTGCTCAACAGTGACATCGGCAGAGTACGCCCAAGTAGAGCACGAATTCACCAAAGGCAGATCCTGCAGGTTGAAAGTGACATCATACGCGTTCTCATATAAGTGGCAGTCACTGATGGTGCCCGAGGCCGTGGACTGCAAGGCAGCTGTTTGGACTGGGCTGGGCACGAACTGGGTTGTCGTCACCGGACTCGCGAAAGTCGTTGCCGCCGTAGTAGTCGTGTAGCAGGAGTAAGTCCTTATGTTCCCTACAGGCTTGACGCAGTAAGGAATGTTGGCCCCCAGATTGCTAGAAGTTAAATCCACTTGGGGGGTCGAGGAAGTAAAAGTCCGAGATGGCTTGGCTGAACTTGAGAGTGATATTCCAGCGCAAGAGTCGCCAGCCTCGAGCTTTTACGACAGTAGAGCGACTTACATAGTAACTACCACTGTCCACACCTAGTATTTGTCTGGCCCTGTGCATTCGTCGGCACGGGGGCTTGGGTCGTCACCTTGTTGCCCGAACTAACAGTGACTGTCCCCAATAGAGAGTTAAAGTGTGTCAAGATGACGCCGCTTGTAGGTGGACAACAAGGACTTGTTCAGTGGTCAGCTTATCTCAAGCAAGAATACCAGCCTCTCCACGACGCGAGGTGAGAACAGGCCGGGTTGATCATGGGATTCCATGCCTGGATCTGAGCAAGGGTTGCATTCCAATTCGTCATTAGAGTCTCGCAGGTGTCGTAGAGTTGCAACCGATAATTACGGCAGGTGCTTCCGGTAGGCAAACAGAGCGGTTGACCTACAGCAGGGAGATTGTCGCATCCGAGATTGAGTTTCTTCTTGGTGATCAACTCGTATGTCGACATGCCGTTCGCTCCTGAGAGGAGAACGCAGTCGCATTCAGCGTATATAATGTTGGCGTAGCAAACCCACAAGTCGACGCGCCACAGCTATTTGTTGTCTCTGCAAAGGCCTTGGCCAGCGCGTCGCCGAAGCCAAACGGCGATGCCAGCTGGAGCTGCTGCACGCCCAGCTCGCACTGAGAACACGTCTGAGCCTTGGTGTAATTTGAATTGGCTGGTTGATCCAATCAGTCGCTATGGCGTCGCAATACTTTCCCGACGCCCTGAAAGGTTAAGTTAGAGTCGGTCGAGTGTCCGGTGGATGGTGTTGCAGTCGCTGGCATCAACCAAGCACGACCAGACTCACTTGTCTCTCAGACATGACAGACTCGCCGCGTAGAGAAAACGATCGACCAGGACAGTTGCATCAAGTAAGGAATATCAGATACCCAGCATAAATATGCAGCAGTCTTTCAACAGTGTACCGGAATCCAACGGAGTTGAGCAATCATGAGCGCCGGAGCCGAGCTTGAGTCTCGTAAGCCATAGGACACTTGGCAGTTGTGTATCTGGATTTTCTGACCGAATTGTTTCTGAGCCGGGTCAGATGGGAGACACTAAGAAGGAGCAGGAATTTTACAAACATGTATAGCTCTATACAATGAACTCTACTTTGATCAATTAGTATTATTTCTATCAAATCGTACAGAAACTCGACTTTTGCGATGAGCCCAGTGGCCCTAGAAGTCGGCATTCGACGCAAGACATGACGCGATGCGGGGTCAAGGCCGCAAGAGAACAGTTCCAAGCATCAATTGAAGAGGCAAATTCCGTGAGCATACCGGGTGCTTACGCCGGGGTAGCTGCAATCGTGACGCGTAGCACGAGGCCTCCTGGACGCTGGGCTACCAACTCGGCCGTCAGCCTCTACCGTGTTCCTGCGCCTCGAGTGTCTTGTACATTACGTTCAAGAGTGCAAACCCGTTGAACAGATTCCCTTGGAGCTTACATAATGCGCGGACTCTCGTTTCTCGCAAGTTGTACCGTCTCTCCTTTGTGTAGTTTTCTTATGGCACGTCATTTCGGTGGCATTTGTTCCCTCGTCACTCCACCACTCAAGGTCAAATTTTTTTGTGTTACTTCCCATGCATCCCGAACCGGAATCATGCCCTGCAGACACGGCAGAGACGATGAGCAAGGTGCCAGTTCACGAGATAGCTGGCCATGAAGCCACGACGACCGGGGCTGTCGCACACGGCCAAGTGCCGCAAGACCAGCTCAACCGGGCGCTTTCCGCCCGTCAAGTTCAGATGATTGCCTTTAGTGGTATAATAGGAACCGGCCTGTTCTTGGGCACCGGGAAAGCTCTCGCCACGGGTGGTCCTGGGGCTCTTTTGGTGTGCTATACGCTGGTTGGCGCCATCGTATTCCTCACCATGATGAGTCTGGGGGAGATGTCTGCATACATACCAGTGTCCGGCAGCTTCTGCACCTTTTCTAGGTAGAACCAGTTGGGACCTATGCTTAGCAATGGTGATTGATATCTGACTCAGGTTCATAGCCGCTTCATTGACGATGCATTTGGCTTCACCATGACTTGGATTACCTGGTTCAACACCGCTGTTTCCACGGCTGCGGATATGGTCGCGCTCCAAATTGTTCTCCGCTACTGGACCGGAGTGTTCCCGGGCTGGGCTCTTAGCCTGATAGTTCTGATACTATTGATAGCAGCAAACATCATTACTGTGAGAGCGTACGGCGAGGTATTTTGACGACTAGAGCTGTCGGCACTGCCCGTGTATGAGGCGCTGACTCCCTTCAGGTCGAATACTGGCTCAGCCTGCTCAAAGTGGTCGCTATCGTGGTAGGGCCCATGCCTCATTATTTGCAACGTGGAGGTACCCTAACTATGACAGTAGGCTTTCATTATTGTTGGCGTCGTCGTAAATGCGGGAGGCAATACGTCTCACCACTATGTTGGTGGTGAAAACTGGTATATTCCTGGAGCGCCATTTGCCAACGGAATCGGCGGCTTCACGTCGGTTTTCGTGTCTGCGTCCTATGCTTGTGTGTTTGCTGCTCTAGTTCCATCCTTGTACCATGCTCGACTTGTTAATGTCGTGAGAAGATAGCGGTACCGAATCTATTGCCATGACCGCGGGTGAGGCAAAGGACCCTACTAAGAATCTGCCTCGAGCCATCAAAAACGTCTTTTGGCGTATTCTTGTATTTTAGTACGATGCTTTTCTCCATCCTCAGCTCAGCGCATGTCTACTGGATCTAATGCCTAACGATTCGAGCAGCTTTACTTCCGTCCTGCTTATTGGTCTCAACATCCCCTACACCTCGCCCGATCTTGCAAAAGGCAATGCGATAAACACCTCGCCGTTCATCATGGTCCTCGAGATGACTGGTGCACGTGCGTCTGCAAGCCTCATCAATGCTGTGATATTGACTAGTGCGGTTTCCGCGGGAAACCATTCCATTTACGTTGGCGGCAGGCTACTGTACACGCTTGCCGTACAGCGTCAGGCTCCTGGAGTATTCGGAAAGCTCAGTGTTAGAAAGGTACCATGGGTAGGTGTCTTGACTACAGCTTTAGCATCCGGCCTTTGCTTTGGTTCGAGCCATCTTGGAGCCGGCCAGCTCTGGGTCTGGCTTCAAAAGTAAGCATGGCAATTTTCCTCTGTCCACGACTCTTCCCCGCGGCTAATTCTAGCTGCAGTCTTATCGGTGTTTCGAGCCAAGTAAACTGGGCCGCGATTGGAATTACATCTATTCGCTTCCGATCTGCGTTGAAGCTGCAGAATAAAACTCACCTGTTGCCGTTCCGAAACTGGACCTACCCGGCCGGCCCGTGGCTTTGTGTCATACTCAACGCATTCATCATACTGATTCAGGGATGGAGCTGTTTCAGTCCCAGATTTAATGGTATCAGTTTCGTTAGTTTTTATATCCAGCTGCCCGTCATGGCCGTGCTCTTTGTTGGCTGGAAGGTATGGAAGCGGACGGCGTGGGTGGCATTGATAGACATGGACCTCGACACCGATGCCCACAAAGCTGTTCGGCATAGATCCAACAATGTAAGCTGGAAGGAAAGGGCAAGGAACATGAGAGATTGGATCTGCTGAATATCAAAGGCCGTCTGTGTGCTTGAAAAAAAGGGGGCCTTGACATTTGGTGAAGCTGGTGCGATCAAGTTTTTAATGCTAACAAACATTGTGTCCCAGCACTGCTTTTGGTCAAAAGTAATGCAAGTCATGCCTTTTTGGAGACGCATTCCAATCAATCAATGCGATACAGGTCGTGCTAATAGACTCTTCCCGAACTTGGATCAATTCAACCCTTGTAGTAGGTCCAATTCTAATTTTCCAAGGCCGCACGAGGCACTTTCACTGCCATTCGCGGCAATAACACGCTTTGACAGGATAATGTATCAAGGCCTGCTAGGTATCTCTCGGGCCTCGACAGGACCGTTGACCACGGAACACTGACCAGTTACCATCTCACGTCTCTTCGCATGGCATTGCATCATGATGCTGGTTGGTGATCCCAAAGGCACCCAATCGGCGTTCGCCACCGGAGTTCAAGTTCACGGCCACCCAACATGCCCGGATAGAGCAGCTGCATATGACCCTCAAACGCTTCAGTACCATCTCCCAGACTAGTTTGCCATTTATTTTTGGCAGCAAGAAATGAGTTTTCCCTGTGCCGATACAGAGCCTGAAGCCGCCGTGCTAGATACCAATGGTGATCGAAAGCGGGAGGTTACGGATCGCAGCGATGCCGGTCGAGCGGCTACAGAAGACGAAGTCAAGACCCTGCGTCACGTAACAGACAAGATTCCGTTGCGGGTTTGGCTCGTAGCACTCATCGCCGCAGCTGAGCGCTTCACATACTGGTCAACACAAGTAACATGGCAGAACTACAGTATGTCCTGATCCCGGTGTCTTCATTTTTCATCGCCCAGCACGATTGAATTGTTTTTACCGCGTAGCAGCTCACATGTCACTCCATTAACCCTGAGAGTTGGGCACCTCGTTGACCGGCACAGTTCAAAACGGCGCCGATGATGAGATTCCGGGCATCCTCGGCCTCGGTCAGTCCAAAGCGGTAGCTATAAATAATGCCTTTAATGTCGTCGTGTACCTGCTCCCCATATTCATCGGGCCCATTGCCGATAGCCTGATCGGGCGCTTCGCAGCTCTCCAGATATGCACAGTAGTGTATCTGGTTGGCATGGGTCTTCTGCTGGCTTTCTCTACGCCGACTGCCGTGGCCGCTGGAATCGCTCTCCCGGGTTTCATCGTGGCTCTTTGCTTGATCGCAGTTGGTGTCGGCGGCGTGCAGGCAGTGACGGCTCCCTTGATTGCTGACCAATACGACGAAACCGTCCCCAAGATAGCTTATGGAAAAGACGGAGAGCGTGTCGTTGTCGATCGCGACATGACCATCCACTACATCTATAGCATCTATTGGTGGATGGCCAACGCAGCGTCACTTGGCCAGATTCCCACTACTCTGATGGAAAAGCATGTCAGTTTCTGGAGCGCCTACACTCTAACGACTGGTGTCTTGTTAGCCTCGTGCTCTCTCCTCTGGGTTGGAAAGAAGCGCTTCGGTGAGTGATTGGTGAGAACTGTGAATGCCGGCAGATTCTAACAAGCATGTCCCCCAAATCAGTCCTCCACGCTCCTTCGGGAACTGACTTGCCCATGGCGGCGCGGGTTCTCTGGATTGCTGCCACGTCAGGATTTAGCTTACAAGCGGCATTGCCCGAGACACAACTCGAGCGCGGCAACCAGGTCGGTTGGGACGATGATTTCGTTAGGGATATTCGTCAGGGTCTGATGGCCATTAAAGTCTGGTAAGATACGACTCTGGAGTCGCACAGTCGGGGGCGTTTTTAGCTGACACTATTCAAATAGTTTGGTCTGGCCCATACTCCGACTTTGCATCGGATTTATCAGCTCCAATGGCATTGCCCAAGCTGGACAGATGCAGACGGTCGGTATACCGAACGACCTTTTCAATGCGGCTAATTCCATCGCTCTTGTCATCTTCGGCATTATGGTAGAAAACGGGCTCTACCCCTTCCTAGAGAAGCGCAAGATTGTTTTTGGGGAGATGAAACGCATCACCCTGGGCCTGTTTGTCATGGCGCTGTCCATGGCGTACGGGACGCTCGTACAAGCCTTGATATATAACGCCGGCCCGTGTTACCGGTTTCCGCTGCAATGTCCGGCCTCGGATAACGGCCGGATGCCAAACAACGTGAATATACTCGTCCAGCTTCCCTTGTACATCATCATCTCTATCAGCGAGGTGTTTGCTTTCGTTACTGGGAGCGCTTATACCTACAAAATGGCGCCGAAAAACATGAAGAGCATTTTGCAGAGTTTTTTTGCGGCCATGTCGGGAGTCGGGTACCTCTTAGCTGTTGCTATTAGTCCGTTGGCACGTAATCCGGACCTAGTCATCTTATGGGGAAGCATAACAGGCATTATGGGACTAACGACTGTAGTATTTTGGATCTGTTTTAGGAGCTATGACAAGAAAGCTATTAGATAAGACGCAGCTTGATAGTGCCGGATTTCCTGTTGACTCTTGGAGCAACATGCACAGGGAGCGGGAGGTTATTGCATACGAGAGGTTTAGATCTGGAAATTCTGAATTTGGGGATGTTGACGATGATGATAGATGTACAGTGGTGTGCTTGAAAATCCTGCCAAATCGACTCCTTTATCTGTACTCAGGACCTTTGAAACCACTGTCACCAGAGACCATCGATTTGAGTTCAAATATTGAGCCCCGGGAAGTAACTATCGTTTCCAAACACCTTTCAATATCACATCGCCTGATCGAACAGAGAGACTCCCCTGATCTTTGCCATCGTGAGTCGCCTTGATTATGAACTTGTCGGAGTTTTATTTCCGGGAACTTGTAGTATAGTATATAGGGTGATGTTGATAAAACTTGGATTACACTCGCAACTGTCTAGTTCAATACGACTTGACATTAAGCTGTTTACGCAATGAGGCAAGCATCGTGACTCACCCGATATACTTCAGAGAATCACAGGACGCAGCACTGGATGGCGTATGAGCCGCGGATACAACAGATTCAACGATACCATTGCATAAAAGTATGTCATGTTGGCGACATGTTCAACAACGCCGGAACTGGGGCCTTGCCGACAGACGGACCGTTTTTAAGTCAACGCCGGACCTGCTTATCCGCAATATCAGTGACATGTTCCGACAGCGGTACTGGTGTGCATAAGACAAGTAATTCCGAAGTTAGCGCCACGGCAATAAACTCCGTAATTCGCCGTTCAAAGACTAAGATGCGGTTACTATGGGGTGGACAGACAAAGTCGATCCCGTCGACGGGGTAAAGCACGACTTCTAGCAAACATACAAGATGCTAACTTGAAGCGAGGAAAAGCCACTACGGATACCATGAAAGATGCGAAGTTTCTGAGTCTGTGGAACAGGTATTAAAAGACCAAGTGTACCAGCTTCCATCATCGGAGAAGGCGCCTTCGAACGAAACCATTATTCAATGCTCGAATCTATACGTAACAGGAATACGGTGTTACCTGTCACAGACAGACACGACCAACTCCGTTACTTTTCTGTTCAGTGGTGCGTTCAAGCACCCGAAATTGTGCTTTTGTCGTTACTAGACCCTTCGGAGTCTCATTACAGCAAAGACATCCAACCGAGTCTCTATTCTTGATCGGTCGTCAGGAATCATGACAAGGACCTTAGATTTGCAGATTGGTCTCATACTCTGTTGTACACTGTTTATATACATTGCCAAATGCTGCTTTTTCTCGCCACTTGCGAGGATACCAGCATCACACTGGTCTGCGAGGTTCTGTCCTGTTTGGCTACTATGGGCGAGGTACAGAGGAACCGAGCTTGCTTATCTAACTGAAGCTCATGCAAAACATGGACCAATCATCCAGGTAGGCCCACGAGATATAAGCGTTAGCTCCTATCTGGACGGAATTCGCAAAGTGTATGATGCGGGGTTTGGGAAACCAACATCTTTCTACTCCATGTTCAACTACTTTGGGTACGGTCCAATATGGTCCAAATACAAGCAACGCTCCTGGTAATAACAAACTGACCTCGATGAAAGAAGACAAAATGCATTCACGAGTCCTCAAAGTAAGGAGCACGGTGTTCGACGACGCCGGACCGCGGCGCTTTACTCTAAATCGTCACTATTGCGATCACTACAAATGAATAATATCAGTATCAGGATCATGCATCATCACTTACTGCCCCGCCTTAACAAGGCATCCGCTGGGGGAGACGATATTGATGCTCTTGAGCTGAGTTACTGTATTTGTTCTGATTATATCAGCTCGTTCTTGTTTGGGTATTGCAATGGAACTCGTTTCCTGTCGAGTGACCCAAGTGCTATTGGTGAGTGGCGGCTTCATTACGAAAACCTAATGTGCCACGAGTCCTTCTTCCCACAAGAGGTACCTTTTATCTATCATTTGTTGCGGAAGCTGGGCATTGATATGCTCCCCAAGTCATACTGGGGATCCAAAAAGTTCCTCGAGACATGGATGGAAGCTATGGTCCACAAGGCAGATGACACCATAACCCGGCACGAGGTCACCGGTTATCCAATTGCCCATGAAGATAAACCAGTGGTCTATATTGCGGCGAAATCTGCCGTAGATCAAGATTCGCCACACTTACACACAGAGAATAAGAGGAGGGAAGTTTTCAGTGAAATGTTTGATCACATGTGTATGTGCTTTTCCCCCCTACATCAATAAACAATACGGACAAATTGACCTGTTGTTCCGCGTGGCGATCAATAAATAGCGGCGTCAAGAGAAGTTCTGGGTATGTAATTTTGAACTTTGCCCCTAGGCAGATGTCTAGCGCTCTACCTTGGTTCTTGAAAACGTCTCTTAATCGAGAAAACGGCACAGGCCTCGTACTCGGCTACACGTTCTGGTACTTAGCCCAGCACCGGCATGCGCAGCTCCGGATCCGTGCCGAACTCGAAGCCGCCGGTATCGACATGACAAAAAGACCAGCACCGGAAACAGATGTCTCCATCTCCCCGGACTCTATTCCGGTAGCTCTCGAGAAGGTCAAATACTTGGACGCCGTCATTTGCGAATCTTTAAGAATGCGGCCCACCAGCACATTATTACCACGAATTACTCCGTCGGATCGCCGCATTTCTCTAGCGGGCGTGGATAATATACCACCCGACACACGAGTAAACGCATTTCAATGGTTCGTGCATCGCGACCCCGAGAAGTGGGAAAAGGTTGATGAATGGGTGCCAGAGCGATGGCTGGGACGGGATGGTCTTGGGAGAAAGAATGACCGGGAGGATGTGCTTTGGGCCTTTGCAAGTGGACCAAGAATATGCCTCGGTAACAACTGGACATTCTACGGTGAGGTCCTCTCCTTATACCATTTTGGTCTGTAAAAGCAAAGTTGAAGGCCTAGTGTTAACGAGTCCGCCCGTTGTCACGATAGCAATGCGATATATCATTGCCACGATATTCTCCAATTTTGAGTTCGAAGTCATCGGAGGAAAACCGGAGAAATGCTGGCCGGGCTCACCCGCGGATCTCCTGCCCGTGAGAGTCAGAAGAATGACACCAGATAGTTCAAGAGAGTTGTCGAGTCCTTGATAGAGAGGTGTATCGTGTAAGTTGTGAGCGAGACGGACGGGGAAGTACGAGGGAGTAGGTGGTGAATTCCGACCGCAATCATAACTGAAAGCCATTTAATTCATTTTGAGCCCCCTCCCTGAGCACAATCATCATCAATTTCCGGGTCGGTAAGCTTTGGTCCTACTCGGCACGTCACCAGTCAACCTTTTCCCCTTTGGCACCCTCACCTAGACAAGTTGTCATGTCCTGTTTCTCGCACCTTCTGCTGCACATTTGTATATACCGCACTGAAAGACCACAGGGAAAAGATAGCTGACTGGAATCTTACTTCTTGTGGGCGAAACTTGCTTTTAAATCCTATATCTTTGGACAGCAGAAGCCAATAAAGTACTGACAAAGATTCCGCAGGAATCAGCCCTAGGTAGAATAAACGCCTTTCCACGTTGGTACATATTGTCCGCAAGTTTAATAATGCCCCAAAGCCTGACGACAAGACATTTTCCCAGGGTGACTTACACAAACCTTATATAGGCATGGAATACTAGTTGAAGATCCGATCTTTCTCGTACTGGGAACTAGTCAATTTAATTTGATTTGTTATACATTAGGTCGTGTAAAGTATCAACGCCACAGCAGTGGCTCAGGAATGCCGACGCAAAAGAGAGGCTGGAATTCAGTTTTTTTCGTACATCTTCAAATGTAGCAAAGTGTCAGGTAATACCTTACCTCGCTTGGCAACAGCTCGTTATAGATATTGAAACAACTTTCAAGTGTACACAACTGTGTAGATAAGCAAACCGCTCACAGTCACCAAAGTCTGGTAAGAGCGTTTCGAATATTTTGCGTTCTTCTCTTCGCAAGTTATATCTAATGGTCTTTACTGATATCCCCGTATGTCTCCTAAAACTTTGCTATGTACTGATGATTCACGATGGGCCAAGCTTTATGAGGCCTCGGTTGTAGGCCGTAGCAACTATCTCCAGCAGATGTCGACGACTCTTCCTTGAGCACAGCATTATAAGACCAAACCATGGGTACCTAAGGTCTATAGGATTTGGAATTCTGTCCCCTGCCCTGAAGAAAGGACGAAACATGACGGTATGATCGGCAAGCCCGGCACTGAATAGGTCCACGTCATGCGGCATCAACCCTCCGGTCGACGAATGCAGTGGCAGCGGCGTCGTGGCATAGTGGAATTGTGATCCATTTCGGAACCCATGAGCCAAGCTGCGGAACCTGAATTCGTCGCCGATGACCTGCATGATATGAAGCGCATAGTAGTCCACGCCGTTAACATACGCGGAACCCATCAAGTCTGAGTGTCCTGGCGGCCGCGGATTTATCTCCAGTAGAAAAGGACGTGGACGTAGACTGTCTTCAGTTCTCATCCCAAGCAGCAGGTCACGCACATTATCCTTATCTCTGTACCATTTCGCGTCTGAGTGTTGCACCCTGGCTTCTACGTGGAAAACGCCGCTGTCAAAGCCAAGTTGTTTCACAACTGCGAGCAGCTCTGTTTGAAGCATCCTTGTTTCGTCACTTGGCAGACCTGACGGCCAGACTGAGCCAGTCTCGATGAATTGCTCCGTTGTAGATTCGGTAACGACATCGTCGCCGCTGCACGGGAAGTTGTCGGACACTTCTGAGAATAGCACGTCGCCACCCCAGAGGACAAAGTTGACATCTACTTCTGGCCCGTCGCAGTAGGTCTCCACAAGAACCTCCCCAATATGTGCATCTTGTAGTCCGAACAGTTCGTGTTGGCATGCAACCGATGACAGAGCGTGAGTCACAGCATTGACAAGCTCGGTTTCGTTGTTTACTTTGGACACACCGTGAGAGCCATGGCTCAGCGTGGGTTTCACGATGAGAGGATAAGTGAGAGGCTCTAGGGCTCTTTCAAGACGCAGTATCAGCTCATCGAGGCTCGTCACGGTGAACGCGTTGGCTGTCTGTTGGAGTCGTCGGGTCTGGTACTTGTCCGTCGAACGGCGGTAAGCCTCAACAGGGGCTGTTCGTAGACCAAGTATTTCTGCAGCCTGGGCTACACCAGCCAATAGAGGATCCATGGTCGTCATGATGCCGTCCACCTCATAAGGCAAGTTGCGCACCGCCTGGACAATGCGATGAGCCAAGTTGTCAAACGTAAACCCTGTGAATGGTACAAAATCCTCCCGATAACTGCCGCCAGGCCCAGCCGGATCCTGAAGCCAATGACTAGGCTTGTCCATAACTACAAGAGAAACGCCACACGACTTGGCTGCGTTGTAGAAGCGTTCACAGAATAGCCTGTCACGCTTTTCGCCAACAACGACAATGCGAGTCAGCTGAATGGGCGTGGGAACCAACCATGGCCACGATATGCGATTCACCAACTCATCCCTTAGAAGACTCTGCGTAGAGGAAGTACTTGGCACAACGAAACCAACACTCTTCTGCAGAAGGTGAAGCAAGGTGCCTAAAGACCCATCGGATCTTGCTGGCTCTGCCTTGGGACAATACTGGCAGGGGCTCGTAAATCCTTGAACCTCAAGTACAAGCGGACAGCCGCGCATCATTTCCTCAAGGAAATCATTCCGGACTAACCAACCGTCCTCTGCAGGCAGGATGAATTTTATAGTCATGGGACGAAGACTAACAACGGCGTGCCATATAGTAGATAGGGCCTGGGAAGGAGTTCCGATCTTCACTGGCCCGGAAACCTTCCCCGTTGCAGCCAGAGCAGTGACAGTGGCGAGTTCCCGGTCGTCATGTATCCTTGTTCTGTTTAATCTGGGTTCAACAGTACAGTCAACATAGTTGTCCGCATGTTTCGTAGCTTCAGAACGGGTCTTGCTCCATGACCAGGACAACTTGCCCACAACTATTTGATGCTCGTTAAAGCGAGGCACAAAGAAAGGCGATTTTTTTCGGACAAAAGCTCTACCGTACCTGAATTGCCATCCGACCTAAGCTCTGCGTGGTATGTTGCAGGCAGTGCCACGTCCTGTATGGTCTTATTACCAAAGTCGGCAGAATCGCCATTTGCCTGCATCTGGGCCGAGACTGAGAACATCTATCAAATTGGTTGAAAAGAAGATATTCTAAAAGCTCAAGACACCGACTTAGAAGCGTAGGGGCAAAATACGTCGCCAAAAAATTAATGCGCAAACTAAGTTTTTCCAACACTGAGTGAATGGAACGCGAAGGAGTTCGGAGTATTACATGCAGCTTGAAACGCCACTACATCATATTACGTCACACAGGAGCCAGATCAACCCGGTCAGCAGACTTTGTGATGCATTACTCGGCCTGGGCTGACTTTGTGCTTCTCGTTACCTAGAAGGCTCTGGCGGGGAGATTCTATCATCGATTCCAGATGGGTCTTTAGGGGCGACGAAAAACGCCTTACATATGTTATTCCAGGCTTCAAAAGTCATCAACTCGATAGTCAACACTGCAATGCATGATGTTCGGAGTACGCGCAGGCGGCCACATCTGTATCTGACAATGTCACAACCGATGGATCAGCGACCTGATCTCTTACGATAAGACTACCTCAACCATTCGAGAAGAATTGCTTGAGTAAGCTCTTACAATTGTGTTGCTTGATTACAGTCATTGACTAATAGCAGCGATCATCGCACATTTGAGCCGGAGTTCGGAGTTGGCTTTGACTAGAGGACCGAAACAAAATAGGGTTTCAGTCGGAATTCGGCGCTTGTTAACCTGATCGGTAGGAAAAGAGGTAGGAGAATTTGTACAGCATTCCTACTTAAAGCTCCATTTCGAGAGAAGCTGGCGCTGAAATATACTAAGAAAGACACTATCCCGATTCCCTCGCAACACTCCATCATGTCGACAAATGTAGTGTTACACTTGCGAACCGAGTCTGCTCCCCTAGGCCACATTGCCGTTCTTACCCCGGACTACACGCGCCAACTCATCGAGGCTGGCGTGACTGTTCATGTTGAAAGAAGTAAAGACCGCTGCTATGCTGATGTGGACTATGAAGCTGCCGGCGCAAAGCTGGTTCCCCAAGGCTCATGGCCGGAAGCTCCCATCGACCACATCATTGTCGGTACTAAAGAGCCTGAAGGCCTGCAGGACAAGACTGCACTGAAGCACACGCACATATACTCAGGATACTATTACAAGCAGCAGAGAAGCGCTATTCTTGGCCTCCAGCGCTATCAAAGAGGCGGTGGTACTTTCATCGATGTGGGCGCAACCAAACACTTACTTGGCAATAAGACCGACATCTTCGGTCGTTTCAGTGGCATTGGCAGCTTCGCTGCTGCGTTGAAGACTTTGCGACACGTTCTTGAGCATCCCGAGGGCAAAACCCCAATGCCTCGCGTCAAGATCCATGAATCTCTTGAGTCACTTATTCAGGAGGGCAGGAAAAACGTTGAAAAGTGCGTCGAAATCCTTGGGCGGTACCCTGTCGTTACCATTGTCGGTGCAGCAGGGCGAGCAGGCTCAGGATGCCTCGAGTTTTGTCGGAAATCTGGAATTCCCGAAAGCAACATCAACAAATGGTCTCGGAAGGAGACGTCACAGCCAGGGCCTTACCATGGGCTGCTTCAGAGCGATGTCGTAGTGAACTGTCTCTACACGAACCGGCGCATCAGTCCTTTGATCGACCACGAATCTTTGAAGTTGCCACGGAAGCTCGCGGTCTTTGTCGACGTATCATGCGATTATCAAGGTCCTTACCATGCCGTGCCGATCTATTGGGAGCCTTCCCATTTCGACAACCTCGCCATGCCTGTCGCGGTGCCGTCAGGTCCTCCTTTGACAGCCGTAGCTTGCAACTACTATGCTGCAATGGTTCCTAAGGAAACGAGCGACTATGCTGCCAGGGCTTTGATGCCATATTTTTTGTCTTTGCCTGATTGGAAACGTGCCGAGGAGCTACGCAAACTTGAGCGACTATTTGTTGCCAAGTGTGAGTCGATACCCCGGGCGACTCAGCCATCAAAACTATAGGCGAGCCGTACTAGGGATACACCTCTTGCTTTAAAAAGATATCATGAGCCTCAAAGTAGTCTATGGATCACCATCTCCCAGCGTCTTGAACATTGACAGGTCTAGTCTCTTACTGCTGGTTTGCCCTAGCTTCTAGCTAATGCAAGGGATATCCACCACGGGTGATCTTATTGATATTTTCAAACTGCAATATAATGAATTAATTCATCATCTAAACTTCTAGAACTGTGCTTCTGCTGGCCGACATTCCGATAGCTATAATGCGGTGCTCTAATGCTTGTTCTTAGACTGGCATCTGCAATTAGATAGGAAACACCGCTACACGCTGCTACACGTATATACGTAGACATAGCACGCTAATTTATACCTAGAATATGTTTATTCCTACGAAGGCAGGCCTAGAAGTCCTGCATTAATCCTTCGACTTATGAAGTGAGTAGCGGCACCAACGCGTCGAAGGGTCACGAGAGTGACGTCCTTCAATACTGCTCCTGTGAAGCAGTCACAGATGTATAGGCAGTGAGGCTCTTAGAGCCATAACTAATAATCTGTCCTTTATATCAATGGGAGCTGTTAAGACCCATGTCTCGACAGATAACGAATATCCTTTACAGGTAAGTCACAGCCGAAGGCGTGCGTACAAAGATCTTGGTCCATTAGACTGGAGGGTAGTTAGTTTACTCTGCGTAGTGCTCAATTTCAAACACTAAGAGTTCTCTGCCACCATCTTTCTTGCTGCTTCAATGCGTCTTCCTTTATCTTTACAAGATGAAATCCATGTCCTTCTTGCTGATAAATGACAACCTTAATTAAGTCACAGACCACTTGACGTTTGAGCTTCTGACTTTTCAGAACGGCAGCGTGTAAGTCCATAGACTGGTTGGCAGTTACAACAGAGTCGTCTGTTCCTTGTAATAACAGAACAGACGTTTGTATAGGTCAATGTGATTTATCGGGCTTCTGTCGTTATACAGCTTCAGAAGTGAAGTGCTCTCTGCGTCGTGACATTCCACACGAGTATCTTCTGGCTGAGCAGGTTGCCTAGTTGTAGGCTCATTATGAGGCTCAGAACATAATGAGGAGCGTCCGCGAACGAGAAGATGATCAAAGCAGCTCTCAAACTTGTGGCTGGTACGAGCAAAGCCCTTCATGTCTGATATGCCGTAGAGACTCACAGCGCCGGACCACACATCTGGATTTGTACAGATAGCTTGAAGCGTAAGGTACCCACCAGCGCTCCCTCCAACAATACCGACTCGTTTTGGATCAATATTTCCAGCCTTAGCAAGGTAATCAACGCAGTCGACAGCATCTTGGACATCTTCCACTCCCCATTGGCCGTCCATGGCATCACGATAGGCACTGCCGTAACCTGTCGAGCCAACATGGTTAAGTAAAACGACAGCATAGCCGCAGGAAGGGAAATATCGACTGTCCAAGTTGACGCTTGGGCGATGATGTTTGGTTGGCCCACCATGTGCGTAGACTATACCAGGTGGGAGACCATTCCCGGGCCTGGATGAATCGTGACTGCCTGACGGTTGCATCAGGAATGCATGCGACGTGTTCATTGATGAGGAAGTTGATGACGTAGGGAAAGCTACAGGACAGGGCCTTGACAAGCTAATCTCAGCCAAGGAGGTCATATCAAACGACTCGGCAAGCATTGTGGCCTGGCATGGACGCCGTGAGCCTTTGGTTGGGCGGAACTACAGACGTTGCGGCAACTGCACATGATACGGAGTTGCTGCACGTGTGGCGGAAGCGCCGATGACAAGAAAAGACCCTTCGTCTATGCGCTGTGTGACATCGTAAGCGATGTCATGCACGTCTATGCCAATATCCTGGTAGATGGCTCGTTCGCAATCAACGACCGCTAGTCGACTGCACCCTTCTGTGGTATACGTCACAACCATCTTTTGAATTTCGAGTTCTGAAAATGTATTGCTTGACAGCTGGAATTCAGTCCCGGCGAGCTCGCATTCTTCCAGGCCGGCTATACGCAGCCGGCGAGGGACTAGGTCATTTATGCCGATCTGAATTGTGTACAGTTGTTGATACCCCGTCTCGTCGTGGGCATAGACCAAGGTCTCTCCCGAGAACCACCGTGGCTGTCCGCACCCCTCGTGGCTGCCAAGTAGACGGATCTTGGAGACATTGGTGCCCGAAAAAGACGAAGCATAGAGACGGCGCCTGTCCAGGGCATGTGAGGGTGATTCCATTCCAACCAAGTCTTTTTTGTTCCCTCAGAACTAAATCGGGCATGTGTGTAGAAATCAGCGCCCTCACATAGACAAGTGACTCTTTTGTCGCAAATGCCTATGCGAACTATGCTGGTATCTGGATATTCTTTCCCTGGTCTTTCGACCTCGCGAATGGCGAGCACGCTGCAAGGGTCGCTGGGATGAGCGGCAAAGTCGCCGTAGATGGTGTCATTTTGCAGTTGAATAAGGCTGAATGTCTGTTTCTTGGGTCTGCTAGGTATATTCCTTTGCTGTTGACATCGGCGAAATCTACACGGCCATCGGCCATAACAGCAGAAGTATTGCCTCCGTATCCATTGATGCGACTCCCAACGTTGAACTGGTCGGTAGTTACGTAGACGTCCGCGTAAGGCTCACCGGGGACTGCGACGCGCTTGATGCGCCCATGTCCGTCATGATCGGATTCAAGATAATACACAAATGAGAATGGCGCTGATTCTGCGCTTTTGCCAACTCTGGGTGAGCTGAGGGAAATATGCCGTAGGCCAGCCACTCAGCCGTAATCGTGCTTTCCCGGCTTTCTCGAAAAGACATTTTCCTACAATTTCCAAAGTTTCCAGGCTCATACGAGAGTTGTTGTGATTTGGGTGTCACAACATACACCTGACGGCTCCGCTGTTTTAGCTTATACATACGCCTTGAACCGGAATTCGGAGTTAAGCGAGCGCAGGATGACCGCCTCATGCACCAATAGGAGTTGGAAGGACACGTCGAAGCTCGTGCATGACTGAGACCTGGGGTTACTATTGCAATCGTTCACGGCACAGACTCCGGCTCCAACACGCGGGGATGTTGCTAATTCCCGGTGCAGTTGGAGGCAACCCGAAGTCAATTTGATGTATTGTCGCCGGACGATTGCGGCTTCCATACAGTTCAATAGCAGCCATGTTCAACTCATAATATTTGTTGTCCTTAGTGCTGAACATCGAGAAGATAGATCCGAGCTTTGGGCGTACGCTGATGTTATGGCGTGAACATGCTTGCTTGGAATGGCGGAGGAATGCGTGATGTAAGGTCTGGATAAGACCGTGTCGAGCTCGAATAAAGGTAACTATGAAAGAATTTGACGTATCCCGAAAGCTCAGCTCGCAAAGTTATTTTCAAGAAGACCTCTTGTCTAATATTGGCTCAAGAGCCGCCCCTTGCTGTGGATTGCATAGCGCTCGAGCAAGTGGCTGCGCAAGCATTTTAACCAAAATTCACTTTTTATGACATAAGGTGCAGTTTTCTTTTTTTGCTCAAAAGGGTAGTGATCTAGCCAAAACGCTACTACAATGAACTGTCAAGTCTTGTACAGTTTCTCACTTTTGTATCCATCGATGTTTGACATGTAGCTCGGCTCACAGATGACTACCAGAACCTTGCCTGCATACGCCTCGGTGTTGACTTGAATATCAGAGGAATGTTGGATTCTTCGAGCATTTTACCAGCAACTAAAACGTCGGCAAATTCTTGGGCTAGCGTGACAATCATAGTCATACCACCACCATTGAAGCCTGCCATGATCCATTGGTTTTCCTTTCCAGGCACAGGACCGACATGGGGCAAACTATCCATAGTCGCACCCATTACTACAGAAGAAGTTAGGGGTTGGTAGAAACCTAGGTGGTCTTGAGCTTACTGCCTGTCCAACTTGCCTCAACCCGCGCTCCCCTTCTCTCCCAACCGTAGAGCTTGGTATTGGCAATATCCTCAAAATACGAGCATATCGAATCCCTAATCAGCGTCGCATCGTCCACGGTATCAAACCAGCTTTGACTGTAATCCTTATCCGCGCGCCTGTAATGACTTATGCCTCCGCCGAGGATAATGGAGCCATCCGGACGAGGGTTGAGGTAGTCAACGGAAGTGGGCATGTGGTAGAGGTTGTAGGTAGCAGTCAAGTTTGGACAGCGATGGGCATGTGTAGTTGTCGGAACCACCTGCGACATTTGCCCTCGAAACGGGACAATGACTGCGCGGTACAGAGGTAAAATCGCAGCTGTATATCCATTGGTTGCGTATATGACCTTTTTGGCCTTGATGACTCCACGTGAAGTGGACAATTTGACTGATCCGGGCTCATCTGAATCATCAACCGACTCGACTGGCGTGTCGGTATAAAGACTTGCACCCAATTTGAGCACGCGCGCAAGCAGGCCCATGACAAACTTGTACGGCCATAACGAGATTGCAGGCCCACCAGCCGCGGCGACGGCCCCTTTGACACCAATCATCTATCTATCTGAGCTTGGTGATATTGGAGAGCGCTGATATACTTCAAACGGCAACTCACCTGGTCAAGATGCGGTCCTTCCAACCATTGAAAGCCGTCCACCCACTCAGCTTTCCGCTGTCTCATCTCCAGAAGCCAGGCTTTCGTGTCGGTGGCCTGGGCCGGATCATAAAATACGTCGTAGGAGCGCGTTACGAGTAACTCGCACTCCAAAGACTCCTGTTCCACGATTCTTTTTATAGCGCTTCGCTGTGCTCCAGTCCAGGCGACAAGCCGAGCAGTCAGCTGAGGACCGTATTTCTCATACCATGTCTTGACAGCAGGCAATGATGTTTTGACGTGCCCGCCATTTCTTCCCGTTGCGCCAGAACAAGCTTGACGAGCTTCTAGCAGCGTTACCGACGGTGTGTTTCCTCCCTCGGAGCACTTTTTAAGAAGTTCATATGCCAGGGATACTCCTGCCAGGCCGGTTCCAACTATCACCACGTCAGATTCTTGAGGGACTGTCTGCGATGAACGAAAGCTAGCTAGCCGATGAGGACTGGAGAGCCAGTAAGATGCCGTTGCGTTGTCCATAGACGTTGATCTCATAGTGACAGTATTGAACCGTTGGGCCGTTTTCAATACCCTCCAGAATTCAAAGGTGCAAAATGCATTTCTCAATGTCTATTCTCAAAAAAAAAAAAAAGGGTTTCCACCGGTCACGTTGTCTCGCGTCCAGCGCTCGACGTAACACAAGGTCGGAGTTGGATAATAACTTATCTAGGGGTTATGCCCTTGACATTATGCACGTGATTTCGCCCCAAGAAGTTTTACCATCGAGTCCGTGGGCTAGACTTCGAGAATCATGTCCTTTTTTGTCAGACTGCAGGCATCTCAGGAATAAGTTATGGGGGCGTCTATTCGTCATTGAACATGAGGCGCTGTCAACTCCGGCCTGTACCAGCATTGCGAAGGCTTTGCAAGTTGGCGGGCGGCTGAAGTACCTCTACTCCGGTGGCAGCTAACTCATGCGGAGGGCAACATCGAAGTGGTCTAATAAACTGCGGAATTCCTTTCACAGTTGCACATTGCCGAGTTTTGTACAGGAAAATGAGTGTGGTATAACTCTCCTCCAAGGGGGCTAGGCGGCTTCATCAGAGCTTGCCGCCAGTTCTCGGTGAGGATGGGACGAGGACCTCGGTGTCCACGCTGACCGATTGCCCTAATCAGGGAGCCCTAAGGCTCACCGCTCCCGTGCCCCTCAACCCCGAATTCGGAGACCAACATAATTTTCAGTGACGCATGTTTGAAACCAGCATCTCGGGCCCGCCCAGTGATGTCGTCGGCCTTGCCTCTCATTCTTTTCAATTGACGCATACTGAGGGAACACGATCGGAAAAGCACTTGGAGATCACGGGATACCACCACCACCACCATGGTACTCCCAGATCCAACCCTGGCCCTCGACTGGAGCTACATTGGGGCCATCCACGAAATCTTCCACAAAAATGCTCGAGCAAACCCCGACAGGCCCTGCGTCACGGAGACGGCCTCCTCTACCACCCCCCAGAGGCGGTTCACCTACAACCAGATCTATGAGGCGTCCAATGTACTCGCCCACCAGCTCCGTGACGCCGGCATCACCAATGGCGATGTCGTCATGATCTTTGCCTATCGCTCCGTCGAGCTCGTTGTTGCCTTCATGGGCACTCTCGCAGCCGGTGCGACCATCACCGTGCTCGACCCCGCGTACCCCCCGGCGAGACAACGAATTTACCTCGAGGTATCCCAGCCAAAGGCCCTGGTCTTGATTGGAAGGGCTAAGGACGAGAACGGTCCGTTCGCGCCGCTGGTACAGAAGTACATAGACGAGGACCTATCACTTAAGACGCAGGTTCCCGAGATGCGGATGGCCGACGACGGCTACCTCTCGGGCGGCGAGCTCGATGGCAAGGACATCTTTGCCGATGCTCGAAGCAAGTCATCGGCGCCTCCCGCTGTTTTAGTTGGGCCAGACTCGACGTCCGTCCTCTCTTTTACCAGCGGCTCCGAGGGGCGACCTAAAGTGAGCGACGCGCAGACCCTGCTACAGTCATTGATGCAGTGCAGAGTGTAAAGTGCCCAATGAGCTAACTACCCCAAAGGGCGTTTTGGGCAGACATTTCAGCTTAGCCAAGTATTTTCCTTGGATGGCCGAGCAGTTCAGGTGGTCCTCGGAGACCAAGTTCGCGTGCCTCTCGGGAATTGCTCACGACCCGATCCAACGTGATATTTTCACCCCGCTCTTCCTAGCCTCCGAGTTAATCATCCCGGCCCGAGAGAACATCCAGCATGAGAAGCTAAGCGAGTGGTTTCGTGACCACAAGCCCAATGCCACCCATCTGACGCCCGCCATGGGCCAGATCCTGGTGGGAGGCGCAACCGCAGAGTTCCCTTCCCTGCAGTGGGTTCTCTACGTCGGTGACATCCTGACCAAGAAAGACTGCGCTGCGCTCCGCAAGCTAGCACCCAACGCAGGAATCTGCGCTGCCTACGGCACCACCGAGACGAGCCGAAGCGTTTCTTACTACCAGATCAAGAGTCGCGCTGAAGACCCGGATGCCTTGGATAGGTTTGGCGATATCGTCCCTGCTGGAAAGGGCATCCAAGGTGTCCAGCTACTCATCGTCAATCGGGAGGATTTCACCAAGCTCTGCGGTGTTGGTGAAGTTGGTGAAATTGTCATGAGAGCGGCAGGCTTGGCAGAGATGAGTACCCCCTTTTGTGATTTGAAGATCTCTGCTAACATTTATTCTTACGGATATCTGGCCGACCCGGACAAAAACAAGGAAAAATTTCTGGATAACTGGTTCGTCGACAACAACAAGTGGGTTGAGGCCGACAACAAGGTCGCCGATTACGCCAACGAGCCCTGGAGGAAATACTACAAAGGACCCCGTGATAGAATCTACCGTACTGGTGATCTCGGACAGTATCTCGATGAATCCGGTGTGGTTGCCATTTCGGGTAGGGCCGACAGCCAGGTGAAGATTCGTGGCTTCCGCATCGAGCTCAACGAAATCGACAGCAACTTGAGAGGCCACCCTCTGATCCGCGAGTGCAAGACCCTACTTCGAAGAGATCAAAATGAAGAGCCGACACTCGTCAGCTATATTGTGTCTGACTATCAAGAATGGGTCAAGTGGCTGGCAGACCGCGGCCTTGGGGACACCGAGGAAGAGGGCACCCAGATCGGACCCGTCGTTGTGTATCATAAGCGCTTCAGGCCAATGCAAACGGAAATTCGGGATCATCTCAAATCTAAGCTGCCAGCCTACGGCGTTCCAAGCTATTACATCTTCCTCAACAAGATGCCTTTGAACCCGAACGGCAAGGTAGACAGTCCGAATCTTCCGTTTCCAGATGTTGCCTTGATCTCGGACGAGGCTTCAGAGGACGATTTGAGGAGCTGGGAGGCCCTCAGCGCCACCGAGAAAGATCTGGCAGAGCAGTGGGCGACGCTGATCCGTGGCCTGAATGCCAAGACCCTTCGACCTGAGTCGGATTTCTTCGAGAGCGGTGGGCATAGCCTGCTGGCACAGCAGCTTCTCTTAAATATTCGCAAAAAGATGGGCACCAACGTTTCCATCAACTTGCTTTACGCCAAATCATCGCTCAAGGCGCTCAGCGCACAGGTCGACCGTCTGCGGGAGGGAAAGGATGATGGCGCCTTGGTGGAGGAGGGCGAGCCCGCCTATTCCCAGTCGCTCGACAAGCTGCTTGACAGGCTGGATGCCAAGTATCAGACGGCCGACCCTACCACGCTCACTCCGGAAGGCAAGACTACCGTCTTCATGACCGGCGCTACAGGTTTCCTGGGCTCTTACATCGTGAAGGACTTGCTTGAGCGTAAGAACGTTGACGTGATCGCGCATGTCCGCGGGACCAAAGACGTCCCAGCCGCCCTCGAGCGACTTAAGAGGTCTCTCCGCGGGTACGGCGTCTGGCGGGATTCCTGGGCAGAAAGACTAAGCGCCGTCATTGGCGACTTGTCGCAGCCGCGCCTTGGGCTTGATGACGAGACATGGCAAGCGGTTGGCGACGCGGCGGACGTGATCATTCATAACGGTGCCCAGGTCCATTGGGTACAGCGGTACAAGCATCTTGAGCGGAGCAACGTGTTGTCGACGCTCGATGCCCTAGGGCTCTGTAACCAGGGCAAGCCTAAGCTCTTCTCCTTTGTCAGCTCAACAAGCGTCCTGGATACAGATCACTACATTAAGCTATCGCAGGACCAGACCAGCACGGGACAAAGCGCCGTCATGGAAGCGGATGACTTGATGGGCAGTCGGGTCGGTCTCGGTACTGCCTACGGCCAGACCAAATGGGTGAGTAGCGTAGCTGCCGGCCCGCCGCCGCGTTTCATAATGATTCTAATGGACTCTAGGTATCCGAACAGCTCGTCCGCGAGGCTGGCAGACGAGGTCTTGTCGGTTCTGTCGTTCGACCTGGCTACATTCTGGGGGACGCATCGACTGGTATTTGTAACAACGACGACTTCCTCATTCGCATGCTCAAGGGCTGCATCCAGCTGTCGAGCCGCCCACGCATCGTCAACACGGTCAACGCCGTGCCAGTAGGCCACGTCGCCCGCGTCGTCGTCGCAGCTAGCTTTAATCCCGTCTCGGCCGAGCCTGCCACCAGCGGCGGCGACGTCGGTGTCCACGTCATCCACGTCACGGCCCATCCGCGTCTGCGTATGAACGAGTATCTCTCTACGCTGAGCTACTACGGCTACAACGTGCCAGAGGTGGACTACAACGATTGGAAGGCCCAGCTTGAAACCTTTGTTTCAGCTAGTTTCGTCCAGAAGGACGAGGAACAGAGCGCCTTGATGCCCCTGTTCCACATGGCGACGAACGACCTTCCATCGACGACGCGCGCGCCGGAGCTTGACGATCGCAATGCCGTCGTCGTGCTCAAGGCCGATGCAGACCGGTGGACAGGCGTCGACGAGAGTGCAGGCGAGGGTATCAGCAGGGAGACGGTCGGCCGCTTTCTAAGGTACCTGGCCGAGACGAAGTTCCTGGCGTGGCCAACCAGCCGGGGCAGGGAGCTACCGGCCGTCGCGGTCGACGTTGCGCAGGCACAGTCGCAGTGGGGTGTTGGTGGGCGTGGTGGTGCGGCGTGAGACGGGCAGGGAAGCCCATGTAAATCTAGATGGAGAGACACATGCTGGATGATGCAGGGTGACGAGGCCTGCCGTCACCACCAGTTTGCGTTCTTGTTGTAGTGTAAATGAATCAGGCAAAAGTAATGCTCACCAAGATGTTGCTGGAATATTAGCACGGGCCGGCCCGTAATCGATAAGTGATGACATTGCAGGGCTTATTTGGACCCGGTTCTGCTTGCTTGACACGGAGAAGGTCACTTTCTGTCGCAGGTTGGCAAAGCCTTAAGTTTACCTACTTCATGAAGGCACTAGCTTCTAACGAGTCAGTCTTGCTAGATGAACATTAGCGGGCAGAGTCCCCTTGACGGCACTTGTCACAGCGGCGAGGCCTCGGCTACATTCAGATTATCGCAAGGCATCGGAGTTGACGATGATTACGCAAGACTCAGTGTATCCAAATACATAGCCACATGCCAAACAACCAGCCGGCCGGTATCATTGACCCCCGTGCTCTTTAATTCGTGCGTCATGGTCTGGGAGCAAAATACAGGCAGAATCTGGGAGGCGCTATTCTCACCACTAAATCTGGCGGGAACTGCTGCTGCTTTTAGCGGGGAAACGGAGACGATTAGACTATCCCATGGTGCACATCTCGTCGAATTTAACGAGACGATCCGTATTTCGCTTAGACTGTATAGGCCAGGTGTTTGTTAGGTCGTCACTATGGCGATCCGGTGCTACGCTGACAGCAGCCGTGGTGGATGCTGGTTATGAAGGTTCTCTTGGGGCACTGCTGGATGTGGAAAACCCGGCCGGCATTGCTTTATATAAGAATTCCAAACTAGGGCCAATCGGGTTATATAGGCTGGAAGAGAAGGTTGCAGGCTATCGCGTCATTTATCGGTTTGTAGCGAGTAGTATTGGACGCCATGGACAGAGCGAATGCAACCAAGTTGAAATACTACACATGTAGTTTCCAAGGCGGGAGACAAGGCAAACTGGGGCTTCACTAGGTTCCTTCGTCAAGGAGAGGTAGTGCCCCAATACATCTTGAATGCAAGACCGAGACATCAACTAGGCGGGGGAGAAATGTTAGTACACTTGACTGCACAGGACACTGAAAGCAAAATCTGAGACGCTGAAAGTTGTACACTTTGGTTGCTAATAGCAAGGTTTCGTCCTGGCGTTGCTCGATATAGAACTAACAATACTATGTATACAGTTGAAGGCTCGAAAAAATGTCCGTTGAAAAGGTTGTAACTGCTCTAGGAATACACGATGCTAACTATAACAATGCCCATGCCGATGGTTCAGGAGGCCTCGTGTCGACCCTTGCAAACCCGCTTTTTTGTGACAACTCATCATTTCGCGTCGCAGGCATTCAAGCCTCGTGTGTAGAAAGGGGAGAAAAGGCGGCAAGAATTCTACCTAAACCTGGGATTCGGGCGACTTGCCATAACGTGCGGCGACGCACGTAAAACAGTCGCAGTGCGGCCTTAGAAACCGACGGAATCCGAAATAGGGGGAGTTGATGGGCGATTCGCCAGTGTATATGAATAGATCGTACAGAAAACCGCCAGTCAGGCAGCCAAAGAAAGGGGCAACCATGGGTATCTATCACTTGGCTATTAGTCTCTTGATACTGCCCCTGCTTGGTATCAACGACAGATGGCAAAGGACGTACCCAGAAGTAATTGCCATTAGCGGAGAAGACCTCTGCTCCGTAACCAATCATGTAGGTGACGAGTCGAGGGCCAAAATCACGGGCTAGGTTCATGGCATAACCAGTCTCCCAGCCAAATCCGGCACCAATGCCAAATACTAGAAAGAAGAGACCGAGGGGCTTCAAGGGGCCTGCGCCAAAATTATTCCCGTCATCAGACATGGCGAAAAGAACAAACTGCAAAATCGTGCTGGCTAGAAGCTCGGAAAAGAACATGCCAGTGCGCGTCATGAAAGCGGCAGGGTAAGTAGCGAAAATGCCAGCCGTGGCATGGGAAGTAGAGACGGTGCGAGTCCCGGCGCCCCCCTCGAAGCTGTCAATAGCCGAGCGGTAGTTCCCATAGACTATTGCAGCGCCTACTATAGCTCCAAGCACTTGGGAGGCAGCATAGACTGGGAGCTTGCGCCACGGGTGACCACGAAAGACACAGTGAGCTAAAGTAACGGCTGGGTTGATATGGCCTCCAGACTTCCCGCTAACATATGCCCCAAGCATAATACCTATGCTGTACATCTCACATGGTCAGTTGGATTCTCATCACACATCCTCGTCGGTGGTTACGATGTTGGCAAGGGAATTCCACAACTTACCCCCAGCCCCATGAGATACTCTGATAATCGCCCTTGCCATTAGTACTAAGGACAACCTGTGCTGTAACACCGCAGCCAAATAAAACGAGAATCATGGTCCCAAAAAACTCAGAAAAGGCATCCTGGCAGATGGATCGAATCCTAGGCCACCAAAGATCTCGGGTAATGGGCTGCGATGACGCGTCTTTGTGAAGGATAGAGCCTTCAATATCAAGTTTCAGGGTCGGTACGGAGGTATCAAAGAACAGTTCGGACCCCAAGTCGTGGGCCGGTGAGACGGTCGCCATGACACCGTCACATGAGCGTGTTGTGGGTAGGTTGTGAGCAGAGTTGGCCCGGACAAAATAGAGCCCAGCCCATCGACGGAGGATGAGGGACGGGGGACGGGGACGCTTTATTTGAACAGATGATCTTCAAGTGCAAGACGTCAGCGCCACAGGGCCAGCTTCCTCGCGGACGAGTCGGGATCCCGGGACAAAGAACCGATGCTCCAAGTCGGCAAGCTGGAGAGCTCACCGTTCGTTCTCTGCAATTTAACCATGGCGGGGCGCCAAAATGAGAATAAAGTGTCCGGTTCGATGTCAAGCTGTCTCTTGTTACTCCGTTGACCCCATTCTCTCATGCAATAGCTCCAATGATGTAATATATCGAGGCACGGTTCGATGCCAAAGCGGACAGGCTACTACTCATGCTGCTTGGCACAATCATTTCCCCATTGTGGAAGCATTAATGTGTTAATTGCAAAGGAGTCTTGGGAGTTCCTGTGGCGCCTGAATTATCCGTCCATCCCGGGCGGCGTGGCAGTGAAGCAGGCTGGAAATCGCGAGATGAACCATCAGACATGGCCATGATCTCATTCACATTCATGCACGAGTTGCTGACCGTGACGGACAGTGGAGGTGCACAAGTCATGTCAATTAACGCGTCATCGCGTCACACCCAGGAACGATTCATCTACACCCTTCCGCGGCGCAGGCAGTATCTGTGATTGATTCTTCCACGGCGGGATGCGATTGCGGAACAGCGAGTACCCCTGCAAAAGCATGCGGCATCCGACGCCGCCGCGGCGAATAATTATCAGCCAAGTCTTGGCCGCGTAATGGCGGGCGACGACCGCGGGCCATGGGCCACAGAGGCGTGTTTTACGACAAGTAATGCGTAATAACTAGTTCTTTCCACAATAACGGGGAATTCATCCCAACCTGGCTTACCTGCCTTGCTTACACGTTGACGTGGGCATCTCATCCGGGGCAGACGGGTATCTATTTAGCACAGAGTAAATTTGTAAATTTGATACGCTCAACGTCAACTACACAGCTCATGTTTTAAAGGCTATAAATGAGACAAAAACGGCGTTGTGAAGACAGGGCCTAGAACTTCTCGTAGGAGACTGTAATTAGACGAGGCAAGGGGACAGAGAGCAGCGGATTCTCTTCGTGGTGAAGAGTGTTTGAATAGATCATCCATCATAGACTATGCACACGTCTACAGAGAAAGGTCTTCTCCGAAGCACGGACCACGTTGATAACATGTGAGTGGCAAAATAGGGCTGCCCTTTGACATTATCACGACCTTGCTTGACGGGGCACCCTGGACGACGACAACCCATCACACCCCTAGCCGCCCGCATCGTTCAGTCCGGGCGCCAAAAACCCTAGAACCAGGGTAACCCCGGCGAACATGTCAGTTATAAGAAGGAAGAACCGAGAAATGCTCCGGGTTTCGCCTCGTTATTCAACATTGACTGGCTTGGTCACGTTGGTCCGACTTGAGGCGCACCGCAACCTCGTCTCGCCCGCTCGCAATCCCCTCTGCTGACGGGCGATGTTGATGGACACGCAGCAGATCACGAGATCGAAGCAAATCTGAGGCAAGGGAGGGAATCGGCGCTCAGACAGACGACAAGAACTCCCACCAGTCTTCATCATGAAACAAATCGACCTGCCATGTGTGTGGCACACCTACAGTCTTCGGCAGCACACGGGGAGTGAAGGATTGACATCCAACGACGGAAACCTGAGACTCTTCTTCTTTCCTTTGACCAACACAACGCCGTCTTTCATCCCCCGTACTTTTGTCCGCTACAGCATCACACCATCGATCTACATAGCCGGGCGAAAAGATCGGCATCGCCCCGCGAAGACCCTTGGGCTTGGAGGGCTGATGAGGTTGAGATAAAAGACAAGACAATGATGAGTGGGTTTGTATGCGAGTACCCTAATGACGTATCCTTTCTGGGCCCAGGCTTAGCTCCTGCTAGTCATGGTTCCCCATAGTTGAGCCTGTGCGCATGACTTGCCTCGACTCGCGTCTATGGGCCCTAGGGTTCTCAAGAGGCTTTGTGAGGTAAAAACGGGGGCAGGGGCCTGCAGTGCCGTGGCTAGATAGAGCTTTGACAACCGATTCGCCCGTGGCCCCATCTAGCCGTAACAGAAGGCGCTGTAATGGCCTGACCTGAGATACTCTACTAACTTTTAGGTGTCATCATTGCCTTGCCTGGTGTCAAATTGCGTTGTGATACTGTCCTTTTGAATTCCGTCACAGTCCGTCCTGTGCGCCTCCACGTCCTGGCCTCGTTGCGGCAGCGTCTGCGACGTGGCCCGTTTTATTTTTTTGGTGACTATATTACGGGCTCTAAACGTCATGCGCCGATCTGCGTGTTCGTAGGTGTACTATATTTGGGCTTTCGCGTGATCGAAGAGGCGATACATGGGTCAAAACCCCCAGGCGCAAAATCCCATCATGGTTTTCTAGCCTTAGGGCTCCTAGCTCGTCCTAAATCGATCCGAAATTCTCGAAACTACCCATCGGGAGCTTCTTAGTTTGGCGTTTGGCTTTGTTTCAGCTGGTTCGAGGTCATGCTTTGCATAATACAACACGTCCTTGATCATACTCAGAGAATCCGGGTGAATAGGGCGCGGCGGTGTGCGACCACGTCCCTGACAGCGGCCACATGCTCTGAGGTTTGTGTTGGGCTATTACTTCACCCCGGATACTAGAGATTCCTGGATGACGGCTGCCGTCTTGAAGTTTCGCTCATCGCCGTGACTTTTGTCCCATGAGCATCTCCTTCCTCGACGGTCACCCTTTTTGCGGTTCTTCAGGGCCGTTTGCCGTCCGGAAGGGATCCCTGTGTATGGTGTATGGATGCACGCCATGTTCGTCATCACTTCTCACTCTGTGTTGACTGTTACTGCTTCTCAGGGCTTTGCGGCGTCTGCCGCTCGGGCAGGTATGTTCTCTTCAACGGCATAGCAACTGGGAATTGAAGGAACGGCAGAATCGCGAGCTGTGGTGAGTTGGTTGAAGCTCCAGGTTGTACTGCTTTTCTGCTAGTTCCATCGTTGGAACCTCCCATAAGACATGTCCAACCTATTTCGCTGTCTTTAGCCGGATTACAAATGGGCGATCGTTACACCATTCACTATAGGCCTGGTGAATAACTCGGACAGGGTCTTTCGGCCGTGAGAGCCTGTTACTCAACAAATTCTGGCGCATTTTCCCACGTTCTTCACACTATTCTGCTCACTCGGACCGGTCAACCAAATCCTAGGCACGGAGCTCATAAAGGGGAGGGGAAGATGCGAAGAACTGGCACGAGTGGGATTATCCATTGGCGCCATTTCCGTTGCCGATGCATTTTTAAGTGAGGGGTAACAAGAAAACCAGTAATGAAACCAACGACATACATCCCTTGATAACAAAGTAGCGTTAGGTCGAATGAAGAACACTTTTGCGGGCCCCGGTTAATAACAGAAAGCCGTCCCATCTCCAAATTTCAGGTGTAGCACGTGTGATGCTAGCTGTTCGTGGTGATATCTCTTACGCGCCTAGTTCCCCGACATATTTGTGGTCGTTAACGGCAGACTAATACTTCAGGCGTCTGATTAAAAATAGCTCAATTTGCTACACCTCGGCCAGCCAACAGTCCGAATCATCCAATAGGTCTGTCTTGCGCTTCTAAGTAGCTGGTCTTTTCGAGACCGCTATGCACAAACGTCGAAACGTATTGTTGCAGATTCAAGATATAAAGCTTAGGTAGACTAGAGACAATTGTATAGAGTAAGGGAAATTTTACAAACAGTCCGGTCGCTATGTGATGCTCTATAGCTGTATGTTTGCGGTTTTTCCTTTTTTTTTTTTTCACTTGCGTATGTATGGGCTAAAAGTTCCGAGCAGTCAGCAAGCTCGAATTTAGGTATTTATACGCCCAATTAAAACGGAGTATTACGCCATCTGCGCATGTTTCCCACCGCCGCCTTACTACACCAGTTAAAGCAACCATCGAGTCAGCAAGCCGTCGCGCGGGTATTCGAGCCAGTGATGTAGCTGCTATGGTTGAGGAGCAATTCCCCGATACAACACTCCTGCGGAAGGATATCTATAATGCCCGTTCGTTCATTAACCGAGAGAAGCTAAATGGCTATACACCTACTGCGGCATTGATCAAACTCTTTGATGAGAAGAAGATCCCATACATCGCGAAATGGGCCGATGATGATCCAGATAGACTGCTTGGTCTTGTCTGGACCTTTCCGTACTGTCTACAGATGTGGAAGCGCTTCCCCGAGGTTATTAGCTTTGATAACACATATAACACTAATCGCTTCAAGCTTCCTTTATTCCAGGCTACTGGCCAAACCTGTCTTGGAACTGTGTTCAATGCTGCATTTGGCTTAATAGATAACGAGAGGAGGGAGGGGTTCCAATTCCTTGCAGAGAGTGTTCGCAAGCTCATTACAAAACACTCACTCAGGGAACCAGATGTCATCATCACAGACTTCGACAAGGCTATGAAAGCTGCCGTTAATGATCAGTTTCCAAATGCACAGCAACAGCTTTGTATTCATCATATCCTTTCAAACGTTTTGCTTAAATCGAAGACTAGGTGGACGGGCCAACGTGAGGACAGTACTACTAGCCCTAGCGCTAGTGACAGTGAAGACATTCCCTCACAGGCGGATGGCGGGTTGAGCACTACAGATAAGCATCTGATCGAAGATCGGTCGAGTAGTGATAAGATTCCTCATACTTACCAAGGCGTTGTTTTAATGTGGAAAAAGGTTCTCTATGCCGAGACTGAGGAAGCGTTTGAGCAGGCATGGAGAGATCTTTGTAAAGAGTTCGACGACCAACGAGCGATCTTACAATACCTCTACTCGACTTATATGCCTGTTAGTGCTCAATGGGCACGTTGCTTTATCCGTCGTTATCGTAACTTCGGAATCCGAGTTACGTCCGGCACAGAAGCAAGCAACAATAATATCAAAAGCTATCTATTAAATGGCATGAGCCACCTCTACCGACTCGTCGAGGCAATGCAGGATATGATACATGACCAAGAACGTGCCTTTAAGGATGCCTGTGGACAGGATGATGTCCTGACTGCTCCACAATACCTAGGTTCGATGGGAAACTATCTTGGTGAACTACGAACAACCATGTCATCGAAAGGACTTGGGTTAATCAACAAGCAATACTGTATTGCTCGCAAATTTCTGCCGACGGGGAAGAATCCCTTCCCCGACTCTATTGGACTTTGCGACGACGACTGTACGGTCTCTATTGAGCTGGGAATCCCATGCTATCATAAAGTCTACGCAAAGCTAGATTCTGACACACGTTTCACTAAATGGGAGGTCCACCCACGCTGGCGACTACGGGAATCGGCATCTCAAGATCCATACCGACGAATTCTTGACCCGAAAGTTGCCACTGCACTACGTGGAAGGCCAAAGAATACAGCGCAGGTTATCCCAGAAAGCCTAGCTATTACATCAAGTAGCCGATCTGATAATCAACCAAGTGGGCGACGAGGTCGACCGCCAGGAAGTCTCAATAAGCCAACTCTTGCTAGGAGAGTGCATAAAGCTACTCGAGAAACCATCACACAAACTGGTGGCCAAATTGGCATCTCAGCCCAGCAAGGGCCAGGTAGACCTTCTAAAGTCCTAAATGCTGGGAATACGACAGGCGTGCGGTACAGTGGACGGAGGACGCAACGAAACATTCGCAGGACAAGGAGTCAATGGGAACTGGCTAAGAGTGATGACGAAGATCCAGATTGTATCGTTGTGAGGCAATAAATTAAGTAGACCACATCACGTCTTTTGCCAGTATTTGACAGTTACTGGCTAACAGTACAAGGACGGTAGTTTAATCCGAAATGCAGGCTTGCAAGATAGCAGAAGACCAATCGCGCCCACAACGATAAGTGACTGCAATTCATGGTGATGTAGGAGCTTGTTAGTGAAGTTGGCTACACCGCCTTTCCGAGGAAGTATCTGTGGGGCCAAGAAAGTATGCGACCAATCAGAAGTGGTAAAAGTCATGCCCGTGTAAGAGTCATGCCCGTGTAGCCAAAGTGTCATGCCCGTGTAGCAATTCCCTATTGAAACTATACCTTTTTCTACCTTAACACTGGATACTTGGGTAGGCAACAACGGTACACTCTGGTAGGTGCGGCGGCATGAGAGCTTTTGGTCATGTCTCGACTGTTGAAAAATACATGTCAAGATGCTCTGAGTGAAACGCCGTGTGTGCGTGCCCATGGTAGATCTCTTTCACGTATGAGGCACCGAGCAAGGATGGGAAAGGGAACCAAGACACGTCTCGTTGTAAGAGGTGCATCGCTGCACGGGGAGTTGGTACAATGAGTGATGACGGTATTTCTCAAAGTGCCATCTACGGCAAGTCGCACGCACAACAGTCGTAACAGTCGTGGAGCTTTGCACAAGTCTACATATAAGCAGAGGGGAGGCGAGGCAGATCTCACCGGCCTCCAACCCTAACCCTAGGTGCCAAACCCATCTCGTCATGCTGAACCCTTACCCTAGCCAGTGCTTTGTGGTGGAGCCGCCATCTGATTGTCCTTATCTACGACCCGACCGCTCGGGTTGTGCGGACCAACGAGTGGGATGAACATTTGGGCAGTGGGACCGCCAGCTCCCAGCTCAACAAATTTCCCAACAGAAAAACAGACGACTGCAGCGATTCCGTGCATGCATTGCAACTGGCACACGTAAAGAATTACCAGCGCCGTCCTGGGATTGAATTTGAACCCATGTTGACATGTATGCATTCACAGCCTGCTTTCCAACGCGTCTTGACTCGGTCTTCGACCTCACTTGATACAAATACAAGCTGCTGAGTCGCACTCCCAGCCCATGCACCATTTTGACCCAAGACATGGCTGTCTGCAGAAGTCTTCCACTTCACGCTCCCAAAACAGCAAATTGATGTCACGGCTATTATGGGAGTCGCCTTGCCACCTGCGCACGATCAAGAATAATGCAGACTGCCAGGTATGGTCAAGTGCATATCTGTCCCATTCACCACATCATGTCCACATCATGTTCTCGATTTTCGCCATGGAGGGGCGGAAAGGCAAGGTGACGGACGTGACACAACCAAGCCCACTAAGAATACGACTTTGACTCGACGCCCTAGAGTCTCAGGCTAGGGGGCGGCGCGACGGAAGCGTTTGAGGTGCTCAACTGAAGATGCCCAAGTCGGTTGTGGGCTGGACAGCTCGCTGAGCGCCCGAAACCTTCTCAGTCGCCCACGCCACACGGAGCCAGGCCGCCCGCCAGGCCCTTCAAGCTGCCACAAGACGTCTAACAGTCATACGGAATACTCCGGAGTCCGTGGCCTCTAGCCTGCCGGGCCGGCCTCGTTTGCACATGACCTGGCTCCACGCCATGTGGAAGACGGCTGACTGGTCGTATCCAAGGAAAGTCTCGGCCCGCCAGGTTCTGCAGCTGCGCGATTAGTCAGTCAGACAGACTCGCCAGAGGTGTTTGACACGGCAAGGGACAATGGATTACGGCCTTGGTGTCGGCGACTTGGTCCGTGAGAGGTGGCAACGGTGTGGTTGGACGATAGCAGCTGAAGCTTGCTTGCAGCATGTCATGACTAGGGCAGACAGCGAGGGGACGGGCAAGAAGAAAAGGGGCGGTGTTCTTCGGGGGGGGGGGGGGGGGGGGGGGGAGGGGGAAAAAAAAAACACCC